ATGGGGATTCCCTTTTATACGGGCTACCAAAATACCAGACTCAGAGGCTACAGTCTGTACAGAACTGTGCCGCTCGTCTTGTTAAGCGTTTCCTAAATTTGGTCATACTTCACCATTACTTTCGGAGCTCCATTGGTTACCAGTAGAGCATCGCATTGTTTTTCAAGATCTTGTTGTTGGTTTGTAAATCTCTGAATAATTTAGCCCCTTCTTATCTTAGTGATTTGCTAACACCGTATATCCCCAGTCGTAGTCTCAGGTCATCCAAACAGTCTCTCCTGGTTGTCCCAAGGTCTATTCAAAAGTCGTATGGTGACAGAGCTTTCGGGATGGCCGCCCCACGGTTGTGGAATGCCCTGCCCATTCATATGAGAGCCTGGTTTTTCTTTGGCTGCTTTTAAGAAATGTCTGAAGACTTACCTTTTTAAAAAAGCTTTCTTTTCAAATATTTCATGATTTTATGCGATTGTTTGTCTTAATTATTTTGTCTTTAATCAATTGCAGTCATTAACTTTTTAACTCAGTATTGTAAAGCGCCATAGAGCAGTCAGATATGGCGCTATATAAGTCCATTATTTATTTATTTTATCATTTATTAAACACGTCAAAGAAATTTTGCAAATATGATACTGCAAATACGGGCATTGTTTTTGTCATTTACGATTTCCTAAGAACAGTTTTTAGTTTCTTTTTCGATCCTTTGTCATATTTTCTACCCTCAGGTTATACAATGCTACAAAATGAAACACTTGAAAGGCTGTCCGCACACTACACGTGTTTATCAACATTACTTACGAGTTTTAAGTCTCGAGCTTAATAGTGTCGAAGGTCTTCTTAAGCAGGTGCTTTTAAAAAACTTTACGTGATGTGCTTGCATAATCACACTTCGAGTCGAAGCTTTAGAGTACGTCAGACCCAAATAGGTCAAAACTTTATGTTGACACCTACCTAATTAGAAAAATAAAATTAAAAAGGACATCGTTTCGCCGTGAAACGTGATAAAATATTACTCTCTTATAGTTTAGAATAGAGGACATTCCATTTTTACCATGTTGGAAGAGGCAATTACTCTGACTAATCAAAAAGTTGATTTGGCTTTATCAACGGAGTTGATGACATTAATATTATTTTACTTCCATAAAAAATATATGAATCGTGGGTTGTGTGTAGCTCCATCTTACTGTATATTAAAAAAAATACGCAATCCTATAATGCCTCTATTCGCTTTGAGGAATGAATGAATTAAGAAGGACATTTGCAGCAAAACGCTGTTTTTCTGAATGTAGAATTGTTTTTAGTCGAAAGCAATCAAGTTACATCTGGTTAAGAGTTCACAATTTAAGGGTTTTGTGATTCCTCTTCAAATCACCCATTTTACGTTGTATCAATGCCATACAACTTAAACGGAGACTGCTGAGGACTTTTGAAACAAGTATTGAAATCATGGTTCTACCTAATATTGATATGTCAGACATCTGTTTACTTTTCGCCATAAACAATGACTGATGTATTTAAAGTTGCGTTGATCGAGTTGCTTGTGCATACAGCTGTTGCTTTTGTTTTAATTGCGGCTAGAAGCATTGCCGTAACTTATAGATTTGGTCTTTTCTTGATTGAACTAGATATTTTTTTGTGTTAAGTAGAATCCTGATTAGAATCTTGTCCTTTGGCTTTTCATAATAGTCCTTTTCATGAATCCTCCTTTAACAAATGATGGGGCCGCCAAAGACAGAGGCGAAGAGTAGCCAATTTACGAATTACCTTTCGCCTCTTTTTTAAAGCGAGTCCTTGTGCTCACCCTTTCATACACGTATAATACTACGTTTTGATTCAAAAGCAAGTTAAACTCAATTTCATAAGTATGATTGAGGAGCAGGCCTCGCCTTGAAAAAGAGGCTAAAGGTAACTCAGAAATCGCCTTTTGGATGATTCTTTTCTCAAAAATACATTGCGTTTCAGTAGAAAGCTTTTTTCTACACCGAATGGAAGGTAAATATCTCTCACGCCAATTTACTATGATATGTGAAAGATAGCTTGAGTAGTTGATGAACCATTGAGTTAAGAAACTACTTTATTCTGGTATTATGAGGACATATGGTGAAAGTTTAAACTGATGCAAATCTCTTGCTTACTCTCGACAGGTGATTTCTTATCATGAAGTTCCAATCAAGTGTTGCAACACTCTATTTTTTTTTAATACTTTCTTAGAGTTCATAATTTTTTTGTTTTTGGTTTTTAGTTTTTGGTTTCAAAACTTCACTGACGATTTCTTTTTGATATTAGTATTTTTTATTTATAGTATTATTCTATTTACTCACGAGCTTCCCTTGTATACATCATTTCATCTTTCATAGGAGGTACCATGCTGGACGCCGAATCGATTCTGATCCAATCCAATCAGCGCTCTCGAAGGGAAAAAGTCAAATATATCTCATAATTAGTTATGGAAATGTTGTTTTGTTTTGTTCTGTTTTTGTTTGCTCGTTTGTTTGTTTTTATCTCTATTTTCCCCTTTTTCTTAGACTTATACTCGTACCATAATAATAGCCAGTTAGATAAAGTTCAGTAAATAACAATTCAAACAAGTAACTTATTTCTCAGGAGGCTGAGTTTCATCAAAGAATATTGATGGTTTCCCCAGTTACGCCATTTTCAAAACTCCAAGAGTTTGTAAGGGTTTCTTAAAACTTTTGACAATACAAATCAACGGTAAAATACGACGTTTCGACCATACTGCGGTCCTTTTCAAGGAAATGGCAAAAATGACGTAACGAATCTATATGTATATATGCGTGTTAGAAGTGTAAAACATTTTTTAGGTGTAAACAAACATTATGAACTACAAAGAGAAAAAATAATTAGAAGCTCATAGAAACCTTTACACAAATTGAGTCCGATTTTACATTGAGAGCAGGTCTCAGTTCTTAAATAAAAAAAAATAACTCATAGAGTAGGAAGTCGATCAGAAGTGTACGAACAAGTTGAACTGCCTCCTCTATGGAGGATCCTTTATTTAAGAACAGAGACCTACTCTCAAAAAACATCCGGACTTAATTCGTGCAAAGATTTTAAATTACCTTCCAATTACTTTGACCGAAGTATAGTCGAAACATCGTATTTTACCGTTGTTTTTTATTGTCCAAATATTTGAATGCCTTATACCAAACATTGGAGAGGTTGTGCAAAATATTGATGTGAAAAGAACCTGCCAATCTGACAGTTAAGCGATTTTTTCTTAGTTGTTATGTTCCGGATTATAATCATTCTGGCAGTTTCCCAAAAAGGGAAACGAGGTGGATAGAGATATCACGAATGATGTTCATAAGTAATCGATAAAACAGATCTTGATGTTCGCGTTATAGATTACTAAACTCAAGAGGATGTGAAAGAGTTCTCAGCTCAGCAAGGAAGCAAAAGAAGCGTTGGAAAGTTCCCAGAAATCATTTTGTTCTACGCTCTGTTGGTCGAACATCTGGAATAGCTGCATCTCAGGGAATATTGCAAGATTATACTTTTATCTTGAATCTGCGCGGACAAGTTGCAGGATGTACTGACGACTGATCACATAGAGAATTTCGTTGTTCTTCAGCAAAAAAAAAAAAAGCTGAAAATTATGCTTCTAAAGAGTCTTACCTCTCTTGAGCCAACCGAACCGAATGCTTTTAAACAGAAACGTTATTTGGCTTGGCCAAGTGGAATAGTGATCTACATATATTACTTCGATTCATGTTAGGAATATTCTTCAATGTTTTTCCGTTTTAGATGAAATTTATAGCTGGGGCGTGGGTGTCAATTGGTCCTTATTTTGTTTTAACTGTTTTTCTTTCTATTGTTATATTTGTGCCTATCAACAATAGCTCAGTGACAGGAAGTTCTACCACCCCTGATCTGCGTATCAGATATGATGAATTGCTGTCAGTAAGTTATTAACATTTTAAAAGGTTGAGACCTGCGTTTTCTTTGCTTCTTAAATATATGAGTTTCTCGCAACTCTTGCTTCGAAATGGACGAAAATACCTTTAGTGTAACACACTTGGTGTCACAGAATAACAAACTCGTGTTGATTCCTCCACGACATCTCTAAATAAGGCATGGTATGGACCATTTGGAAAATAAGCGCTACGTCGGGGTCCAAATGTCATTACGATTTCCTGAGCTGTGATTGGAAGATTCCGTACCATTTTATACATTACTGCCGTAAGATGTTCGTCTGCCGTCAATGATAGATTGTGGCATATGTCTCAGTTCGCGTGTTATTGAAAGGCGCAGTAACTTCGTTGGGATGGAAATTTTGAGGTAATTCTCTTTGATTCTGTGATTCTGTGGCATAAGGGTATGAAATGAGTTTTTTGTTATTTTGACCTAGATATGGACATTTTATTATAAAGAGGATTGTCTTCTGTATCGCTGGTGATCTTGCAGGAGACCTTTGTAAATTGAATTGAGTTAAGAAACCACCTGGTTGGCCTGTGTTTAGCTCAATATGTTCGGTTGCGTGCATGGCTAAACTTCCAGTGTGGTTGCCACCTTATCTTATTTTCTGCTCTGTTTTGTTAAAAACAAAAAAAAACAAAACCGGCAAAACAAAAAAAAAAGTAAGAGAGAGAGAGAGAGAGAGAAAGTAACTTGGAAAACGAATTATTCAACTGGCTCCAAAATGGTGCGAATAAACAAGAAAAGATAGTAAAGGTTCTAATATGTTTGGCCATTGTTTTAAAGCAGAGTTTTACAACACAACAATTATTAATGATAGTATAGGAATCATCTTGTGTCGATTTCTTAAGAAAAATTACAGGAATTAGCTGGACTTTGTTCCAAAAGTCAACATGAAACATGCTATACATAGAATTTCAATTTGTTATGCAGATTTATCTTTCAAGCTAACCTCAGATGCTTTGAAGTTATTGACTTAATGTACATTTACACAAAAATAAATAAATAAATAAATAAATAAATAAATTTTCATTTTGTACATTTACATGAGGCGATTTCAATAATTGCTAACAAAAAAGGAATAAGATTTGGCAACCAGCCCACTCGTTGATTGGTTTCTGGTGCTTTACAAGGGAAAACACAAGAGCTATTTTGTCTGCTGCGGAGAAGGTGTTGACAGATTCTAAGAGAAAACTTCAATATAGATTACCTCGCAGAAAGAAAACTCACGCGATCAATTTTAAAGCTGACCTTCCAACATGAGCTTTCCTTGGAAAAATATTGTGCTTAAATTTATCAGCCACACACAAACAATATCAAAGACGTGCATAAGCGAGCTTTAGTGTCCAATATAAGGTACTTTGTTTATCTAGGGACCCTAAACTTTAGGTTCAATTTTTTTTCCTTTTTCTCTGAATAAGTTTACTATGACGAGCGTTTAGCTATTACTGTGACAAAATTTGAACAAAGCTTAACTCAATGTTGCATCTTATGCTTTCACGATATATTTGTATTAGAAGTTTTAACAGACAGTATCTAGAAAATGTCTTGTCTCTGTACTGTCTTAAATACATTTGCCGTAAGGTATAATCGTCAGTTTGAATTAACAAACAAGTTACTGCTACGACTTTCCTCGTCTGTTGAAGACACTGGAAAGATGGCCGAACTTAGGAAGAACATTTCACTAAACAGAACTCATGAAAAATTTAAAAATTAAATGTTGTCGTGATCAATTCTGAGGTGCAAATAGACTTTTCTCGAAAATAAGGACCACGACTAAAAATTCAGAAAGTACATTTCGCATTCATGAATAGATTTAGGTGGATGAACATCAAATTATTGAAGCCCTGATGATGTAAAATCTACCATATTCGTGGATATTTGTTTAACTCGAACGCAGCATGCAAAAAATCCTTGAGATAAAACAACACACTTGAAATTACATTTTATTTGGTAAACAGCTGAAGAAACGTGTAAAATCGTGCAAATTAATGTGCTTTGTCTTGTTCTGACGTACACTTGCTGCGGTTGATTTTAAAGTTCAGTGGTTTTGGACTTTCAGCTGTCATATTAGGGACTGTTCCGCCATGTTATCGATGATTTGCTCGCCCACCGTACGGAAGGAAGTCATTTTGAAATGTTATATCCATGTTGCTATGGAAACTTTATCACAACATCTGTTATCAGTATAGAGGATGCTTAGAGGACATCGTTGCAGGGGTTGTGTATAAGATCTAAATAGATCTAAGATCAACATTTACAGTCTAAAGTGTAAGAGGGACATTTAGCAGCGCTTGAGAGTCAATATTGCCTTTTTTATACCAGTGACAAGTCTGATAATCAGAAAACATTATCATCTCCCAACCTCAAGTATTCCTTAATGCTACGCATAAAACTGACATAGACCATAGACGAAATAGAGGCAACTGCATTAGGTTTGCGTAGCGTAACCATTAAAATCATCGTTTTTCAAATTATCTGTTCTGAAACAGAAAGACTTTTGATTAGTATGGAAATGTAATTAAACGATTGAACAAACGTGTTCAATTTATGTAAAAACTATTCAAAGAAGGAGACCATTTGTTGCAAGCCTTAGAGGAAGATTAGACGTCACTTCTCTGCGCTTTACGCTGCCGCGATTGTCAAGTTGAAAATTTCAGGTATGTTCTGTCAATTTTTTTTTCTCAAAATTGCTAATCTTCTTCCATTTTAAGCTACTGAAAATCTTTAATATTCAAAGAGGCCACGCTTTAATTTTACGGTGAAGACAACTGATAAAAGAAGGTAAATGATGTGTCAATGTTCACCTACATAGAGTAGATATCTGAAGATTAGCCGTGTTTTAAGTTCTTAAAATATTGATAGCAACAAATTGCTTCGATGAGAAAAATCTTGTTTAAAAGGCCTTAATTAAAGGCATGTTCTTATTGAAGCTGGACGAAAAAACCTTTGCTGGCCGTCAGTGAAATAAGAACGTTCTACTGACTAAATGTTAACTTGCTTCTTGGATATGCTAGTTGCATTTACAACAGATGACGGTTAATTATATAAATATACGACTTCTTAAAGGCTTCATAGAATAGATTAGCCGACCTAAAGCGGCGAGGAAGAGTCATATAATGTGGTTCGTGATTAAACAGAATATGGTCCATGAACATGGACATGTGATAGCTTTCGCATCTAACACAGTACAGTCAAGCCGATGAACGTATGAGAAAATAATTTTATTTGTTTGCTTTTTTTGTCTTTATATTCGAAACACGAACCGGTTCAATAATGGACCAAGATAGAGCGTTGTCACCGTTTATTTTTTATTTCGTATTTATACCATATTTGTTTTAGCGCTAGGTATGGAAACACACACATTGTGAAGATCATGCAAAACAAAAAAACGCATAGCTCTAGCTCAAATTGAGCGCTTATAGAAACACTCAACATGTTCTCTTTGAATTTTTAATCGTTTTAACCGATTAAAAATTCATTATACATCGGTAGCCTCACGACATATTTATCGTAAAAATAATAGCATGCGAAATTAGTTTTCACATCGCTTCAAAATTTCAAAATTAATTTTTAGACTAGGATTCCATATTTTAGGGTTATTGAAGAAAAAAGTTGAAATTGGCAATCTTACGATACTTAAAAGCTGTTGCATTTTGGTTTACAAATGGCGTTTGAATTGCGTGGTCAGAGTACCACGTGACATTACCCGGTGACGTTTGAAGTTTAGACGAGAAGCACCTCAGTTCTATCCGATTCTTTGTCTCCAAGGTCCGTCGTTTTGAATGAAAAGTTAAATGAAAGGAATTATTGGTTTGAAAATAGTGCATGTTCATTTGAAAAATATATATATGATAAAAATAAAACAAAAAATCAATAAAATTGCAACAGAGAAATTTATCGAGCTTCATAGATATCGTCATTTTTAAGTTTTAGTTCAACATTTGTCTGACATCATGACCATCCCCGTTCCAACCTCCTATCCTGAGACAATTTGGGGTGGTATGGATATTTATGTGTTTAAAAATAAAGTACGAATGTCTTTTGCTCAGATTCTGTCGAGATCAACGTCTGCAGCTAAACTGAAAGAAAAATGAACAACACCTCAACCACGGATCAGTTTCCGTCTCAGTCAAACCTTGGCATGATAACCTTGAAGAAGCTTCTTCCAATTTCAATAGCCATTATTTTCTCCAATGGACTAGTGTTCGCCTTGTTTTACAAACGGAAAAGTCTTCGAACGTCATCCAATTACTTGCTGCTTGGCTTGGCGATTTGCGATTTCTTAACAGGCGCTGTCAACATTCCATACTTCATAGTTTTTTCTTTCGAAGTTGTTCCACTCAACATGCAAAAGAACTACAATTACTGGTTAGTCATCATACATAACTTCATGGCTGTGTCAGCTACCTACCATCTACTTGTCATCACGGCAGAAAAATTTTTAGCGATCACCAACCCACTGAAACACTACCTTGTAACCAAGAAAACGGTGTTAAAATCATTAGCCGCTATCTGGATCACGTCAACGGTCATAGCCAGTATTCCTTTAGCTTGGAAAAATAGTCAAGATCAGTCACAGATACTATTTTTGGTTATCTATTTTTCGGTGTGCCTCGTGTTCGTGTTCGTTATTCCATATACATTCATGATTTATGCTTTCGTAGTCATGTTCAAGGCAATCACCAGCAAAAGAAGACCATCGTCAATTCCCAGAAGAGTTGCATCAGGGCTGAAATGGGATATCATCAGTGACAGAAAGTGCATTGTAATTTTTGCATTGATGGCAGCAATATTTTTAATTTGCTGGTTACCATATTTTACCATCGGGCTGGTTATCAACATAAAAAATCATCTCAGGGTCACGTTGACGGAACCGATTTTTGAAGCCACTGAAGTAATTGTCCTTGTTCGATACATAACTTCGATTACCAACCCATTTCTCTACACGTTTTTCAAACGCGACTTTTGGCGGACCTTACGAAAACTTTCTCATAAAAAGGAGTTTCTTCATGATGGGAGGAAGTCCTCGAAACAAAGAGGATGGTCTCTTTCATGCGGTGCAGGAAGAAAGCGACAGAAATCTGATGACAACAGTACCACGTTATCTCGGCTTTCTTGGATTACAGCAGAGGCTAACGTGAAAGGAAACATCTCGGAAAAACAAAGGCTCTTCGTATCTTCTGTTTGATAGCATTAGAATTAATAGTCAGGGAACTAGGATTAAAGTTTGTGGATAATATTAAATGGAATTACTGACTATAGCGCTGATGCTTGCACTTGATATTCTCGGGTTTTTATTTGTTACTATCTTTCTGGTTTCTGATGGTAAATGTACGGGAGAAAGTCAAATTTTCCGGGACTCTTAACAAACCACTCATAGTGTATTTATTGAGGAACATGTTACATTATTGTAACATGTATTGTAGTGTATTTATTGAGGAACATTATTACATGAACTTTATTGCAGAGTTGTATGCCAAAAAAAATAATGTTTCTTAACAAACTCTAAATGAAACCCCGAGTTACCCGTTTACAAGAAAAACAGCAAGCGTCTTTCAAAATCAGAATTAGCGGAGTCACCAAACCTAAGATATGTGGTTACCCACTAAGGTAATAAATTAGGTTGTCAAAACATTCCTTCTGTACGCTTTCATAACTGTGTTTTATCACATCGCTCGAACCTACGCGAGCCGAAACGAACTTTTTATTATTCCAGATTAATAATACTTTTGGACGGCTCTCACAAAGCGATCGATGAGATATCCCACAAATGGGTTGTTTTATCTACGTATATAGGAGCCGAGGAAAATGTGTCAACTGAGAAAAATGGAGTCAAAAGGAGTATGCACACGGTTTGACACCAAAAAGTCTAGTGGGGCTTATTTCTTCCGTGGCGTAGTGAAACTGATATAAGGAAAAGCTTCCAGCGGCCAGTTGGATTCGGTTATAGACTAAGGGACTGACATGTGGGAGGTTGAGTGTTCATGCCCAAAACCGGACAATCAATCACTATCTTAAAATTAAAAAAATAATAATAAAAAATAAAACAAACAAACAAATTAGCAAGAGTACACTTCCTTTGGCACGACATCAGAAATGGCAAAAAAAATTCTTTTCTTACAATACTAGTGATGACTGAGGGCGCTGTCTGCCACATATTCACTGTCGTGGTCAAACCTCCTGGTTAACTCAATTGGTTAGAGCGCTGGACTGTTGTGCGGGAGGTCGAGGTCGATGGTTCGATGCCCGGCCGGACCAACACTCCAGGTCTTAAAATAACTGAGGAGAATGCGCTATCTTTCTATAATATCAAGAAATGGATAGACATTCTAGTCTTCTCGGATAAGGACGAATAAACCGTAGGTCCCATCTCCTGGATCTAGAAATTAGTTAATTTGGTTAGGCAGGGGACGTTAAAGAACCCACTCACGAGATTACTGTGATGTGGTCTGGCCTGTTTACTGGGAATTGGGGGGAGGGGGCATCTTCAAATAAGTTTCCTTCGATTGTTTGTAAACTGCTGATGCAGTCCGGCCAAATTCCCCCGAAAAGTGTTGTGATGCGCATTTGATCATATCCACATGTTAATTTGCGCAATATAAATATTAAACTATTATTATTATTATTATTATTATTATCATTATTATCATATTGTCGCAGAACTAAGGCATCTGCATTTTTAATTTAGTTTTTGTTTTCTTTTCATGGCGAACCAATTCATGTAGTCTAGTCAAAATCCTCCTTTAAAGTATTTGACAGAACAAGCCATTTTAACATCATTTGGTGCTTATTTCCTGTTCTCAAGCATGTATGTTTTCAGTGTGAAATGATGTCCCCACCAAAAAGATGGTAACAGTTCAAGGCTTATGTCATGAATCTATGGTAAATTATGGCTTCACCTTTCTTTAAAAGTTTTTTCCTCCATCAATTCACCTTTTAAAACTTTCTGAGCTTTCGACAAGCAAACTTGCCTTGTTGCTGTCGGGCTCTGTTAAAAAAAAAAGGATATTCGTAGTAAAATCAATTTTAATGTTCATAATCGTGGTGAAAATAATATTTAAAGGCTCTTTCATTACAACTGAGACTTTCATTCAACAGCTCAGTGGTTTCAAACAAGTTTTTTCGTCTTTGCCGAAGTCCTCAGAACAGCTCAAACACAACAAGGATAACAGAACATCACATTGTCAGTTTGCACTCAAGATGAACAAATTAAACCATCCTGGTCTCTCTTTCCTCAATATTTGCGGAACTTCTTATGCGGCCGCTTTTCCGGCGAGACTGGCTAAAGGCTTTTTCCTTCCTTCTTCTTTGGTAGTATTTTTTTTTCAGCAGCTTTGCAGCAGGTCACCTGCCCAATTTAAATTTCCCCCACTTCTTGTTTTCTCAGTTGCGTGGACAGAACACAACCCTGTTTCCTTTTGGTCTCTTAGTTGTGTTAGTAACCAATTACTATGATCTGACTGTTTCTTAAATATAATAGAGGCATACAGCATCAAAGTTGTCTTGCCTTATCTGTGCGATTTAAATTGAACAAATCGAAACGTTCTTTTTAACAGCAATGTTTACACTTGCATTAGATATTCCGCTACACGTAATTTCTTGCAATCTGTGATTGACAAAACAAAATGATAATGTGACTTCGCGTCGCATAATTCAAGTGGAAGCGTTCTTGAAATTTCTGAATCGTCTGATTATTTCCTGAATTTACTCCTTCCAGTCCATAACCAGCCAGAAGGAGCGTCGCTGCGGCGCCGATTAAATTTTCGACTTATCTATGGGACGCCGTATGGGGGAAAGACGATTCTTAACATGTTTCCTCAAAGTGCGGCGCCTAGTAGACGGCAGACCGCTTTCGAGGAAGTCCTATATGCTTCTTCCTTAACATAATATACTTATGAATCCCTCTGGAATTGAAACGTTTAATATTTACTTCCAACTTAAATATTCGTTTCTCCAAATTTGGAGAGATTTCTTTGGTTAGGAGAAGACCACGGGCCTCTTTATCTTTATAATGATGCAAATTAAACATGCGCCTAATTTTCCTTTCAAGTGTTTTTTTTTTATCAGCCTTGATCTGAAACAGCCATTGATTCTCATGACATGAATTTGGTTGGACTTCCCGCGACGAATTTTATGGACTACATGTTGGTGGTATAAAAGAGGCGATTGAAAGTCGCAATGGTCATCTGTGTTTTTTAACTAAAATAATCGATCCGAAGTGATCCAAAATCATTAAGTGCATTTTTGTCTTCAAATTTGAAAGTCAATGAACGAAGTTTTATCAGACACATTGAGGCGTCACAATTTTATGGATCATAATGAGCTTTGACCAAAAATTCACGAATTCTGAAACCTTAGCCTTGCATGATCAACACCAAGAAACCTTTGAGTCATCAGTTGAGATCCCCACTGTTTTTGATAAATCGGTTTTTCACATTCTGTACTAAGCAGCGAAAAATTAGTATTCCCGTGATGCATTTTTTGACGCGTTTTAATGGTGGGATGAAGCTGTACTTTGAAATTCGCGAATGAGATACGTGTACAAGGAACGGCAAACTCGAATGTACGGTTATGCGCTAAAAATTTCCAATTTATTTACTAAGGGATCTTGAAATTTCGCGGTTGGACTTACAATTGAGCACAAGAAGAAAGCAAGCGAAAGTGAATTTACATCATAGGCATTAGAAGCATCCAATATTCTATTGATAATCACCTGCGGGAAAAACGTCACGCACCTCACAGGGCCGGGAGGGGGAGTGGAACTTACCTTGGTAAGTTACAATGTGATGTGTTTCGCCTCCGTGAATGTAGTTTTGAACCCTCTTAGTCCTAACATGGGTACAAATAGCCTTAGATATGCTTCTTTTCAGAAACCACGTTAATGTATGAACTTATTTCCCTTAGCCTATAACCTCGAGTGAATAATAGAGAAAGGGAATTAACACTGAAATGTCTCTCAGGTGAATTTTCACATAGATTTCATCACTTCTTGGCTTCGGTACCGATTCGAAGCTTATAATTTTAGTACGACGACGCTTAATTCTAATACGACGAGAAAGCGTAATGGATTCACAAACAAAGTGTAACTTTCAGAAGCCAGATCTGAAAACGCGTAGGAATTATTAGAATGACACGTGGAAAATTGCTTGCCTAGTTTCAGTTTTGAAGAACCGGGTGATACACCCCGTCCCGAGGATACCTCCTCCGGACGAATATTTATAAACTCACCTTAGGACGGTTTAGGGACCGTTAATTATTTATTGCCGGGGGAGGGGAGTAAGAAGATTTTTGCTGTGTCAGGATAAAATTTACCCAATAGCCCGTGAGGCTTTTTTACAGTCGTATAACCCCCACCCCTCGTTGGCCGTTAATTGGCCGTCATTTTACAGCCCCCCTACCCTTTACACCGACTGCTGAAGACGACTGATCCCCCCTCCGTTCCATTTGATCCCCCCAGAAATCCCCTACCCCTCAGCCCTCAGGCGATAAACAATGGCTGGCCCTTTAGGAACTTAAGCACGTTCTATCGTCTCTTATAAATCAATTAAAACGCCCACACCTCAAGAAATGAATTGGAAGTAAATTGGAACAAATGTCTTGAAATCATGAGGTTACTTGGAGACAATGTTTTGTTAGCAAAAAGCTAATCGTTATTCGACATAAAAAAAGAAAATGATAAAAAATTAAAGTACATCAAGAATATATTTTATTTAAGAATATTGGAGTATAATCTAAGCGCATCCGATGTATGCAAAAAAAAAGATAACGTAATTGAGCTTTATTGCTTGACTTGAAGCATACATTTGGCGAGTTTTCCCATGCAGCGAAAAGTTTTAGTTAGGGGTTTAATTTTTGATGCTGACTGAGTCAGACGCGTATAGAATAAGGCAAATTTGCTATGGCATTACACCAAATATTCAGCATTTGAAAAGTCCTTACAGCTGCGTATGCTATTGAAGAAATGCAATATCTTAAATGCTTCTTAATACGTAGTGTTTAATATTTATTTAAGGATGAGTTTTTAATTTCAGGGAGGACAGACACGAAAAAGTATCACTGAAATTCTGTTCTCTACGAAGACATCAAATGTAGATTATCGAAGGATTGTCACAGTAAGGCGCTATTCCTCCGGTTGCGAAGTTGTATTAAAGGTAAATCATATGATCTTTATTTGAAACCAAAATTAAACTTTAGCTGGCAGCAATCGAGACTAAATATAGTAGACTCCAGCAGTCGTCCTTCAGATCTTGATAACACTAAGACGACAATCAGTAGTGACAAAAAAAAGAAAAAAAAAGGAATCATGAAATACATCATACATCATTTTGAGCGAAAAAGTTTCGCATAGACGGTTAAATACAGTCTGTAGGGGAGAATCTTGACCGAGGTCGCCAGTACAGACCGAACGCAGTGAGGTCTGTACCAGCGACCGAGGTCAAAGATTCACCCATACAGACCGACCTAGCTCGGTTAAATAGATGTTTATCATATGGCTGTCTTATATGCCAGTTTTTTATATTCTTTGTACCTTTTTTTTTTTCTAGACCGGTCTAGATGCCGGTCTAAATGGGAAAATCTAGACCACTTTCAAAATTGATTTCAGCCAATCAAATTCGTGAATTCGGTAGTTCTCAGTCCTTGTGAGACAGCCATATAATAATGTAACATATTGCCTCGGTCCATCGATCCGTCAAGGAAAAGAAAATAGATAAGGTCTTCTAAACATGAGGGCAATTTGGAAAAGTAAGCAAAGGCTATAACGTTGTCAAGGGATGATCCAGCGTTCGATAATTCTTCCAAATTCTCGAAAAATTAGATGAGGCTTTGTAACACAGATAAAGGGTTCAGTCGATTCTATAAAATATTTCACACCGATAGACAGCTGGTAGTCTCTATTGTAAGAACGAGGCAGCTTTATCCTTCATGCAGACACTTTTTTTGTCTCTTTTCAGTATAAGTTGTGACGCCTGGTAGACATGAATAACAGCACAGCTACAGATCAGTCTTCTCCGATGCCAAACTTTGGAATGACCGCCTTGATGAGACTTCTTCCAATTGCCATAGCCATCATTTTATCCAATGGACTAGTGTTCGCCTTGTTTTGTAAAAAGAAGAGTCTTCGAACCTCATCCAATTACTTACTGCTTGGTTTGGCGATTTGCGATTTTATAACAGGCGCTGTCAATATTCCTTACTTCGTCATCTTTCTTTTCCAAGTTGTTCCACCCAGCATGCAAGTAGACTATAACTACTGGTTGTACGTTGTGCATACCTTAGTGGCGGTGTCAGCCGCATACCATCTCTTTATCATCACGGCAGAAAAGTATTCAGCGATCATCAGACCTTTGAAACACTATCTCGTAACCAAAAAGATGGTCTTTAAGGCTTTAGCTGTGATTTGGATCGTATCTACTCTCATTGGCTTAACCCCATTGCTTTGGAAAAACAGTCAGTCACTTTCGCTGTGTTTCGTTATCTATTCCACAGTTTGTCTTGTATTTGTGTTTGTCATCCCATATATATTCATGATTTATGCCTATATAGTCATGTTCAAGGCGATCACCAGCAAAAGAAGACCATCTTCATCACACAGAAGAGTTACGTCAAGACAGAAAAGTAGGCCCACCAATGATAGAAAGTGCATCTTGGTTTTCGCATTAATGGCGGCAATATTTGCATTATGTTGGCTGCCGTATTTTACTATTATGATGGTTGCAAACATCAAAAGTTATATGAGGATCAGCATCACGCAACCAGTTAACAAAGCCGCCGAGGTATTTGTCTTCGTTCGATATATCACATCTATCGTCAATCCACTTCTTTACACGTTTTTTAAGCGCGACTTTTGGCGTGCTTTACAAAATGTTCTCTTCAAACTGAATAATCGCACGAGGTCGGCTTCAAAGAAATCATTTTTAAGACATCGTTCAGTTACTTCGGTAACATCCCGACTCTCTTGGACAGGAGTAAGTTCAGAAAGAAGGAAAAAATCTGTAAACGCAAACACTGTCGAAGAGCAACTAGAATTTGTATCTTCGGTTTAATGCAGGTTGAACCACCTTCGGGACCTAAAGGCATACTTTAGGGGAGTTGACCGGAAATTGCTTATGGATGGTGCACACATCGCTAACTGATACATGCTTGCTAAAATGTGATATGGTTATACCCCCACAAGATATAATGGTGGAACCACAAAAAAAAAAAAACTAGTAGTATTTATGTACTCCAAAGTAAGTACTTCTGAAAGGGATGGGCCGAGAAGGAATTTAAATATTCCGCTTGAGGTTAAGGGGCAGGGACCGACCGCAGCCGAAGACGCCCGTCAAAACCAAGGGCCAAATATTTTCCGGTTCGTCCGGACCACCTAAGTGAACAAGCATTTTACAACATGAGCATTCCCCTCTCCTTTTTTTCCTTCCTCCCTGAATTTGTTATTTTTTCATCTTGAAACATTGCGAGGCCGTAGGGCTACTTCTGACCCTGCTCGCACCATCGCTTATTATAATTATTAAGTCAGAAGTTAAGCATCATCTACAACTGGTAAATTATTAGTGATAATTATTAGTAATAATTATTACCTGGCTTCTTTTAAAGCCTTCTGGATAGCTTTCTCTATAATTTCCCCAGATGCAGCCTCATCTTCTGAGATTGGGACAGCTAGAACTATCCCACTGTTGGATTTTAAAGATAAATTCGCATCTGCAGAATAGTCAGAAAAAGATAAGAAACCCTCATACAATCGAAGCTCTCTCCAAGACATTCTATAACACTGAAAGCCGAGCCCGTTTTGGACACCATGGCGGCGGAGAGGAAAAAAAACCTATGGCAACTACATGTGCGGTGTGAAATTAAAATCGCCAATTTAGCAACTTGTATTCAGCTGTAATGTAGCCAGCAGTAACATTTTTAATAAATGGTGCTTCTGTCAAACTGAGATAGACATTTGCATGGCTGTCGATAGATAATAAAAGGAAAGTGTACTTTAGCTTTCCTTTTTGGCACCTTAACCCTTTAAATCCTTGGGATGACCAGCTTCTTATCTCTCCTTACTACATCACCCATGAATCAAACTTTAAGAACATGAGAAAATGAGAAATAACCACTCAATTAAGGAAAGGTAAAGTCTGTTTACGAGCCTAGTGGCCCATCAGGCCGGTGCTTAACTCCGGTTTCTGTAGCATGAAGCGACTAGGAGTATTTCTACTCCCCCCTGGCTGGGATGCCAGTCCATCGCAGGGTTACCCCCAGCATTAAATTGCCGGTACCCATTTAAACACCTGGGTGAAGAGAGGAACTGTGAGAGCAAAGTGTCTTGCCGAACAACACAACACAATGTCCCGGCCAGGGCTCAAGCCTGGACCACTCGATCCGGAGTCAAGCGCTCAAACCATGAGGCCACCGCGCCTCCACAACCACTCAATTAAGAGGCTCCTTATTTCTAAATAAATTCCCTTTGTCAATACCTTGGATATGTTTAGATAACACTAAGAAGAATATGCATACTGTAAACGGTTAAATGTTATTTCTGGTGGGTGATGATGTTATGATATCTCTTGTTATTGACACTTCCTGCTTCTGGAGAGGATTTCCCCCCATGAGAGCCTCAACAAGGAATCATACAAACCGCTGGTCAGTTCAGACCAAAACAAACTCACCAATCAAATTAGCTGCCTCCTCTGGGGATTGTATATTGCAAACAGACTGTGAAAAGCATATGGAAAAAAATGGCACAACCAAAGGGCAGATTTAGTTTCAGTTTAGCTGAACAGTTTAGCGCATTGAAACATTCATCTTGTGTATAATCATAATTATAGTTTCACAAGGAAAAGTTTTGAAACTCTTTTGAGATCAAGTATGTCATAGTCCATTTGAACTGACCTTAAATCCACTTTTTGAAGTGAAAAAGGCTGGGAAGTCTAGAGAGTCTCCATATGTTGCCACAAGAACACCTTGCGTTTCCTTTGAAAAATAGTCATTTAGAAAAAAAGAAAAATTTTCTATAAAAGGTAAATTCTTTGACAATTTTATTTATGCATTGAATATAACAGGAAATTAAGAATAACCAGTTCCTCCAATAACTCTTTTTTTAAGGGGAGTGGGGGTGGGTGGGTGCATTTGTTACCTATTACTGGCATTTCCCCAGCAATAAGATGAATTATTTTTTAAACTAGAGTTTTAAAGCTTTCTACATCAGCAATTGAAAGGGGCACTGAAAAAAAAAATGACTGTCAAATATTTATCATCTGTAATAGGTATATACCTCATAGGTAAAAACAGCACTTGTCATGTGTGTTGATTGGACAGCTTAGAAGTGATTGGCATGTGCTATTCACCTCTGAGTAGTTGTGGAGAAAGGACTTTAATTTGGTAACCATTTTTTAGTAAACTGACAGAAAATAAATAAATAAATAGATAAACAAAGAATAAATTTAAAAAATTATTTCTTGATTCTTAATATGTCATCTACAATTTGAAAGAATTATTCACCTCAGTATTGGTGAAAATGGTGGATATTTACTTCACTTGGCTGAATTATTCACCCCACTTGCAGTGAAAAATTGTCTTAACTGTTGTTAATTATTAAATACTCCTACAAGAAATTTAATCTTACCAAATACTCAAGAGTCAATTCAATGTCCAGAATAGATTTAGCTCCAGCACAAATAACTGCCACTGGGGTTTTACCAAGCTCAGTAAGGTCTGCACTGATATCAAATGCTGTTCAAAGGGAGAAGAATAAACTTTGAAACGAGTGTATAGTCGAACCTCGATTATCCGGACTCGTTGGGACCTCAGTAAATAGTCCGGATAATCAACTATAGGGTTGAAAAATTCAAGAATGTATTTGATTGTCTAAGTTTTTCAGTAACTTCGTCACATACAACATATATTTAGGTAATATATGTAGGTATAAACTTACTTGACTCTGCTCTTCTATGAACACCACCGATTCCTCCAGTAACAAAAACTGGGATACCTGTGACATTTGCAGCAATCATAGTACTTGATACTGTGGTTCCTCCACTTAGACCCTACATGACAAAAAATTAAAGAGCTTCTATGTTAAGGCTGTCAATCGTTAGAAAAAAATTTTCAAGGCTCCCCAGTTTAATGCCAACAAAACATAACTATAATTAAAATGATAATAACCATTATTGATCATTCCAAACTCTCTGAGTAACTGAGTTCTTCATGTTTACAAGTTTTCACCTATTCAAGAAAACTGCAAAGTAACATGAGAGTATGTTGCTACCACCCTTTCACATTCGCAGGTGAGGGATAAAGTCTTCAGACAATGATTAATAAAAGAGATTTGTTAATTCATGTATTCTAAGATTTTGTAATGGATAACCTCTGAACCTCCAGAAAGATAGTTTTTTGAAAATTTCTAAAAACTGTAATTGCAAGTCAAATAATGACAAAATTAAGAGATACATATCACCTTGCTGATAACATAGGGTAAGTCTCTCCTGGATGTCTTTACAGCATTAGTATCCTGAGCTAATCTCTCTAAGTTCTCTTCTGACAAACCTATAAACAATTTTTTTTTTTTTTTAACATAAATAAGTGTACAGCTTGCTACTATATAACATGAATATAATATAATATAATATGAATATAATATGAAACAAAAGAATTAAATGGCATTAAATACTTACTGAATGAATGATTGAGCCATAACCTCAAACAGGGGTGGATCCAGGAATTTTTGATTGGGGGGGGTCCAAACTTTGGTTCAGAAAGGACTGTTGGACTCTTTTGAGGCAAATTACTTCTTCCCAACACCCCCCACACCCCCTCCCGCCAGTCGCACTTGCACGTTATAAGTCCTTGGCCGCTTACCGTTTACTTGGATTCATAATTTAAAAAATCAGCCAGTTAAAAAGTGATATATAATCCTGTCAATCTAAAAATTTCAGACTCAAAGTTGTAAGTGCCAGGTCTGATGGGGGGGGGGGTTCCAGACCCCCCAGACCCTCCCCCTGGATCCGCCACTGCTCAAACGAGATCTTTACCTCCTCCCTGTTTTCACTGACAAACAAGACTTAACTTTTGGTAATCACTGATATCAGTTTTTTTTTAAACAACGCCTCTTACTAATAAATAAATAAATATAATCACACTCACCTACATGGATTTTTCCAGACATAATTGCTACAGTGGCTGGTATTGCTCCATTGTTTTTCACAATTTTTTCTACTTCTTTGGCAACTCTGTGTAAAAAACATAATTTGTTCAAAATTAAGCAATTTCTTTTAACTGAGATTCTAGGAAGAAAGGTTCTGAGTAAGGGGCAGGGGTTGACCCTTTTTGCTGCAATGACAGAATGGTGGTACGATGGAATGATGGAGCATCCTTAAACATGGAATGACAGAAAATCTTTTAAAAGTGGAATGAAAGAATTCCCTAAATTATGGATTGACCCCAAATGGGCCCAATTGTGTTTTGAGAATCAATTTGCATGAGTGGACTAACAACAATTTAGATTCACAGAACACAGTTTGTGTATCCTGTAAGATCAGCATCGCCTCCCGGTTAGCTCAATGGATAGAGCGCTGGACTGTTGTGCGGGAGGTCGAGGGTTTGAGTCCCGGCCGGACCAACACTCTGGGTCTTAAAATAATTGAGAAGAATTTGCTACCTTTCTATAACATCAAGAAATGGTTAGATATTCTAGTCTTCTCGGATAGGGACGAATAAATGGAGGTCCTGTCTCCTGCAGGGTTGGAGAAGGAGACATTAATTTCCCACACACGAGATTACTGTGTGATGGATGTCCTCCCCTGGGGTGGGATGGGTGGGAGGGTGGACTAGCACGAATGGTTCCTATGTTCCTTTCTAGTCCTTCCCCACTGCAAAACTTAATGCAGTGAAAATTGAACTAAATAAGAGAAAATATATATCAAACCTTAACTTTAACCCATATGAGTGACAAGCATCTAATTTCACCTTACAATGTCACCCTGAATCAAACATTGAGGTCAGGTAATTATCACCAACCGAATGAGATTATACGCCTAACAATTGGCAAAGTATTTATGTGGGTTGAAAAAAAAGTAACTTGTCATAAAACCATCAGATCAATGCCAGTATCTAAGGAACTGGGCACCTTAGTGCCTCCCCTATACTAACCCTCCATTAACCCTAACTTGTTATTGGCTGACTGTTGTTGGGTTAAGGGGGGAGGGGGGTAGGTGGATACTGAAATTGATACAAACCATCCTTATGCAACCACTTTTTTCTGCAGGAAAAGAGTTTTGTTAACCCTACAACTCTCATGAGAGACCAAGACAGAATTTCTCCTTACTGTCTGCTATACAGTTCTTATGATGTTAGTGTGAGAATTTGGTATTGGATCAAACACCAATCCCCAACTGATATTTTCTTTTGTTCTCATCACTTGTCTGTTTGATATAGCATTGACATTGTAAGTAGAAATTCTATTTTGTGTACTTTAGCAAGTTAAACAATACAATATCAAGCAGACAAGTAATGAGAACAAAGGAAAATATCAATTAGGAGATTATTAGTTGATACAATACCAAATTCTCGGAACCAAAACCATAAGAATTGCATGACAGACCGTAAGAAGAATAACCAATGAGCCCTTGGGGAGTGAAAGGTTAACAAATATGCAATACCTTAGATTTTCTGGATAGGGCATTCCATGTGTTATAATGGTTGACTCTAATGCAACGACTGGCCTTTTACTGACAATTGCCTCTGCAACCTCTGGGTAGACTTGAAAGAGTCTATCTTGTAAGTTATTGAGACCAGCTGGCCCAGGTCCAAGCGGACTTCTTGATATCAACCTTGCAATTCTCCGCAAGCTCTTTGCTTGCTTAAGGATCTTTTGTCGTGTGAATACGTTCAACATTTTGAATATGTTTTTTTTTTTCTGGAAAAAGAATGATCAAGCTTAAGAAAAATAAAAACAAAACAAAAAATTAAAAAAGAACATATCTGAGATCATGAATAACAAGCGCGCATTCGATCGCGAAGGTGATGCAATGCTGTTTCCGCACTATCCCTGCACTGGGGGGTGGGGTAGCGGTGATAATGTCTGATTTTACATTTAAGACAAAAAAAAGATCAGTCAAAAAATTAAATCATCCCTGACATCTCAATTTTCAACGAGTAATGAGCAATCCACTTTCGAGCTAGTTTAAAAAGTTTATACGGCCTTAAAGGACATCAGATCAGTAATTGTACGATTATAAAACTAAGAGAGTATTTCACTCCATAATCGCTCGCGGGGCGCACTTCAAAATTTAAAGAAAGACCAGCGTTTGGTATTCGCGCATCCATCAGCAACTACTATGACAACAGCTAACTTACCAAAGCTCATTTATGGTCTCTGATCCTTTGCCGCGCGAATAAACATTCTTCAAAAAGTTATTTTCGATTGCAATTCCGGAGCAGCCGAGGAGTCCACGGAAATTGCCGAAGGTCGCTGGATATTTGGAGATATCGTACTGCATTGTGGGTAGCTTTAAAAAATTATGGTATGCCAGTTGAACACGTGTTTAGTCCTTTTTCTTTCACGTTGTTCTTGAAGTAAGTTTGAACGAAATCACCAAGTAAATTATAGCTAAAATGTCTCATTATAGGTTTTAAAGTTGCGTTATTCGGAAAAGAGATAGGGCCAAATCCCTGTTAAATGTGAAAATAGTAGAAATTTGCCCTTAAAAATACCCCACTCCCTTACGAAACCAAAAAAAAATTATTTCGTAAAAGCGTATGGCGTGTAATAAGGTTGTTGGGTTAAAAAGAATATGTTGTTCACAAATAAGCTATTACTCTTTTAAATTAACCAAAGATATTTTATTCGAAAAGCAAAGAAAGATCGATGCCAGCGAGAGAGATGAAACTTATTTTTGAATCCGTGTAAACCCAGAGCTGAAGAAACGTGAGCGAATCGACTAGACATGTTGATTCCTTGGAAACCTCTCTAGTTAAGAAATAAACTGCATTTCCTTGACTTTTGTTTTAGCCTGAAAAGTACATGCGACACGTTGGTCCAGCGATACAGGAAAAATTCCCTTGAATCACAATCTGTGCAGGGAGTCATGGGGAGTAGTACCAGAAACAATTTTCTCAAATCTTCCTTAAAAATGCATCCTTAGTTGGCTTATAATGCTACAAACCTATTCAAAGGTGGCCCATTACTTTTATACTACATCTTTGAATGGATTATCATGGGGAGATAAAACAAAATAGGTTAATTCTAATTTCATGATCGTACCACTCAACAGTTATTATAAGTAGCAATGTATGGTTCCAGAAAATATCTATACCCCCTGCGGAGAGTCACAGAAATTCCAAGGGGTAGAGGGGTGTAAAAGAGGCACATTTCCTAAGGGAAAGGGGGTACATAAAGAGCTGTTTTTTTCAGAGGGTTTGAAATGCGATCGAATACAACGCTTACGTACTTTTCCAATTGATTCAAGGTAACCAAGAAAAATTGAAAATTCTATCCATTGACGTAAGATTCCTTGTCATTTAGTTTCCACTATTGATTCCGGCATTCGTCGACACAGATTACCACTGAGAGAGACTACGGAGCAGTACGTTCGAAGCGAAGTCAAACAAAATGGCTGGCTTGAAAAATATCATTTCCAGTCCCCTGAGATGTACTGGGTTTACCTCTGTTTAAAAAGCTGTGATATTTTTTCTTTGTTTCATTAGCTCGTGCTGGGGTTTGTTTATTGTTTAATGCCTCTTGGTGCTTTTATTTTCTTTGCATCCGTGAGTTTGACAGGTTTTTACATCGAGGATGAGTTAATGTATTGATCGATCGAGCGGAAATGAGTTTGAGTGGAAGTGCATGTTTTCTCTCTTCGCGCACTTTTACTGGCTTGGCTTCTCATTCGCTTGAAATTTTGTTTTAAGTATGTGACAAATAACCAGTTGGAGTTTTCATTATAATTTTACAGTGCATGATTTTATTGCTATGCGATACTTTATTCATATTTAACAGACCACGGTAAGGAGGCATGAAAAAATAATATAAACAGACAGTTCTATTCTACTGTAGATAGAAATTACACCTGCAACATACAAAAATATCTTGGAGATTAGCATTGAGGTATTTTCCCGAGTTTCACTGTGATAGCAAAAATAAATATGTAGCAAATAGTTTCTTGTGTGTGCAACGTAATTCGACAATGTTGTTTTGACTACATATAAATTGAAACTTGGACTCAGTTACAAAACGTATACGATATACACTTAAAAGATCGTCAACTCTCATTAATTTTTTTTTTGATTTTTGAATGAAAACTTCTTTCAATTGAACAGTGAAAAGGTCAGCTGCCAGGACATTAAATAAACTCAGTTGTTAGTTCGAATATTTACCGCGTCTGTGAATACGTCTAGAATTTCCATGGTCACTTTTAGGAGTTTTAAATTTTTATTACAACTCTAAGTAGATCAAAACAAGTTAAGTAAGTCTCTTATTTTGGATTTGGAATTTCCAAGGGGTATGGGGAACCAAGTAGAAAAAATCATGGAAATTCCAGGGGGTGGGGGAGTAACGCGAAGCCCTCTGGAACGGAAAATCCATTCGGGTGGGGGGTCAAACTGGAAAAAACCCTCTGTGGGGGGGATGGATATTTTCTGGAACCATAATATGACAAAAAAGTTGCAAACTGCATTTTTTTTTCTCTATTTATGTATGTCTATAGACTGAATGTATTTTTATCATGATTTCTTCATTTTATTTTGTTTCTTATCCAGATCTAGTCTTTAAACGCTTTTCTGCGCAATCCTTCACCAAGCAAAATGGTTAGGGAAGACAAGTCAACATGGAAGACAAATTACTTTATGAAGCTTATTGTAAGTTTTCAATGTATATTCTATGTTTAATTACTACCATGATGGTTCAACAATTGTTTCTTACTTATAATGATACAGTAAAAACCTGCACGAAAGAACCTAAAAATTAAGAACCTGTTAGCCTAAAATTTGCCATTTATACCCCCTATAAACAAGAACCTATTTAGCCTAAGAAAATTAAAATAGGTTCTTATTTTCTAAAATCATATAGTACATTACAGGTACACTGAAATTATTTACTGTAATCATAATCGAAGAAAAACCAGATTGCCATTGCTGTAAAACATGATCTTCTTAAGAAAAATGAGTGCAAAATATGTAGTCACAAAATATAGGACAATTACCAACTTATTATGCAGGTGTGTTTTTCTCCAAGAATAAGAACCTGTTTTAAGAACCTAAATAGCCTAAAATTTTGTTAAGTACCATTTGTATAAGAACCTGTTTAGGCTAACTCCTAAAAATGTAGGTTCTTACTTGTGGGTTTTTACTGTATTATAAATAAATGGAGTTCAGTTAGGTCTGTAATCATACAAGTGATTACAAAATTGGACAACCACAAAGAGGGTGCAATTAGTGGACTCAGCTGAGTGGACTTAGTGGGAACAGTTGCTTTAACAGTCTGATTACTGCCAACTGTCCAATTACACTATCTGATATCAAAGAATAATTAGTGAAAAATAGAGCAGCTAATGCACCAATCACATACAAGGGAATTTTAATGGTTATGATTGCACCAATTTGAGAATTACTCAAAATTTTTCTTGTTTCGAAAACAGCTATGTCATATGTTTCAAAGAATGTTAGAATGCATGATGAAATGAAAACTCATATTCTTGTCCAGGTCTTTTAATATTTGACCCATTTTGTTTTGCAAACATTTCACCCAGAGCCTTGTAAATAAGAAAATTGCTTGCTATAATGACCAGAAGTTACCTTGTGGATCACACAAATCTTGTGGTTGATGTTGTTTTCCTTTTTTTTTTTTTTCCAAGAGGTAAATTTAATTTTGCTTGGAAAGTAGGTGAAAACTGGTGTCAAGCCCTGATTAAGTAATGTGGTGTTGGAAAGAACTTGTAATTTTGAATGCACTCTCCTCAACAGCAATACATGGATGAATTTCCAAAGATGTTTCTGGTTGGTGTAGACAATGTAGGGTCCAAACAGATGCAGCAAATCCGTCAGTCTCTGCGTGGCAGAGCTGAAATTCTCATGGGCAAGAACACCATGATAAGAAAGGCCATCCGTGGACACTTGGAAAGCAATCCTGCCTTGGAAAAGTAAGAGCATCTTGAAAGGACCTCTCAACGTCTTTTGCGCAAATATCTCCGCGGGTTACCATAAAAGCCCGCAGATAAGCCGCACTCGCAGATAAACCACACCCTGGATTGAGCAGCTCAAATTTTGGGAAAAAATTTGACATTAGCCTATCATGCTTTTGTTCTAAGTCACTTTCACAGATTACTGCTTATCATACAAGATTATTATGAATATTCTGTTGCAATTGTGTTTCTTAGGTTGATCCCTCACATCAAAGGCAATGTAGGCTTTGTGTTTACCAAGGAAGAGCTCACAGATGTGCGGGATCTCATCCTGGCAAACAAGGTGGCAGCCCCAGCTAAAGCTGGAGCAGTTGCCCCTCTGGATGTGTATGTTCCAAAGGGAAACACTGGCCTGGGTCCCGAGAAGACATCTTTTTTCCAGGCTTTGGCCATTCCAACCAAGATTGCCAAAGGAACCATTGAAATCTTGGTTAGTGATCTCTGATTTCTTTAAGTAAAGTCAAGATTCTTCTAGTTTATACCATGCCTTTCAATAACATGCAAGCTCTCTGTTTCAGAGCTTAATATTAGTTTTTGATTCATGCCCTAGCTAACCATTAATACACCAGGCATGACAATTTTCTTATAAATGCCTTTGTCAAAGACTCTAGTTTTTTGTGGTGCAAACTCTTTCATTTCGAAACTTATACGGTGTCCTCATGTCAAGAATTGAGTGTTTTTTTTGTCACAAGAAAAGGAGACGTTTTAGGTGTGTGCTCTAACACTCAACTGTTTCTTTTGTCTGTTATTTTTAGAATGATGTACATCTGATCAAGAAGGATGACAAAGTAGGAGCTTCTGAATCCACGCTGTTGAACATGTTGAAGATCTCTCCATTCTCATACGGTCTTGTCATCCAGCAAGGTAGGCAGTAGATGATACACTATGAATTATTTCTAAACAGGCAAAACCTCCTCTCTGCCATTTTAATAATGTTGCTTGCTCCTCATATATATCACCTTAATGACTGATGAAATACTCCTGAAAAAAGAAAAAATTGAGGCAGTGGTTTATTAACTCTTAAACTCTCAGAAGTGATCAACATAAAAATTCTCCCTATAACGTCCTTACATTATCCAGAAAATAGGTAATGAGAGTACTCAAACTTATCAGGTAGAAACTGTTGTCTTGATCTAACACCAAATTCTCTTAACTAATTTAGAAGGAAATTTGGTTACATCGACTAAGTTGAAATTGTAAATTGGCAACTGGAAAGGGTTAAAAAGCTGATGTTTCAAGCATTAGCCCTTCATCAGAGTGAATAGAGGAATTGTGGGTTGTGTACATGCATTTCTATGCAGAAAGTGGAGCTATGCTATTGGTGGGAACATGATGACAAGAAAAACAAAGAATAAATTAGTAGAATGAAAAGCGTTTGTTGATACCTATATGGAGTTAAGAGTGCCGATTTGAAAGATAAATTTTCTTAGAAGGAAGTGGGTGACAGGTATCTTGATGTAATACGAAGTTTTCAGAACTTATTTACAAGGGAATGTGTAGCAGCTAGAAGGGAGAATTAAGAATCAGATCTTTATTTATTTATTTGAGGTTTTTTTTTTTTTTTTTTTTTTTTTTTTTTCAGTGTATGAAGGTGGAGCCTGTTTCTCACCTGATGTGCTGGATATTACTTCAGAAGATATCCTTTCTCGTTTCATAACGGTACGTCACACTAGGACATCTGAGACAGATATCAAACCAGGCCTTCATTTATCTACAAATTAAAAAGTTATGGTAGATAAACAATTGGTTTTATGAAAATCAAAATTTGAATGTCTTTCAGGGTATTGTGAATGTTGCATCAGTCTCGCTCGAAATTGGCTACCCAACAGTAGCATCTGTTCCACATTCAATCATCAATGGCTTCAAGGTAGGTTGTTTCAAAAAGTAACAATCATGAGCCATTTCATAACAGGTAGTCAGTGAAACCCTATCGGTGCAGGGCTCCAAGCTGCAGCCCTTCTAGTCACCATTGTGACTGCGGAAAATGGTAACTTTGAAGAAAGCTGAGCTCGGAGTCTTGATGAGAATTTCGTTTACTGACAAATAGTCAATTAAGAGTTGTACACAGGACAAAGGGTTTTTAAGTGGCTTGCCTCTGGTATAACATGTGTCAAGGGCCAGGTGTTAGTGTGATAATTATTATAAAGATATGAATGTAATAATGTAATATCATCAGCATGCTGCATTTACTCATGTACAAGTCAAATTTATGTATAAATGAACCCCCCATTTTCAAGGCCAAAAATCGGGTTCTTCATCGTTTCTAGGTAAAGAAGTAAAATTCAGACTGATAGAAATTTACCAAAAAGTTAGTCTCATATATCTGAGAATGTATTGAAAATGTGGGGAATTAAAAAAACTGCCAAGCAAAAAATGTATCTGTGTGCTGCGAAGTTTAACAGCACTTGTTTATTATCACCATGATTTTAGCATAGAATGCACTGAAAACTGACAAAACTTGAACGCAATCAGAACTGGTTTGTAGAACTTGGTTTTCCTAATGGACTTTTAGCAATTGTTGTGCTAATTTTTTGGATTGCTTGAGTCAGGTCTTTGTGTATAACTCATGTATTAGTTGAGGGTGATTTTTGGGCTGATTTTTTTGTCATAAAAGGTCGAATCGCACATGAGTAAATATGGTAGTTGGTTGATTCTGATCTTCAAAATTTGAAACCAAGACATTCTGAAAACTGCCCTAGCATGTTTCTATGTCTACATCTAGATTTATTAAGTTGGTAAAATTTGTACAGACGTCACACCAACTATTATTATACAAAAAATTAAAAAAAGATTTATACAACACTCAAATGAAATTAATAAAAAAAATTTGATAGTACTTTTATAACTGTATGATATGAAATAGAAGAAGACAAAATAAAAGCACATAGTGATTGTTAAGTAAATAGGACAGTAACTTAGAATTATTAAAAAACAGTCAAGGAGTTTGACTATACTATTTACACAGGTAACTCATTCCACAATCTTATGGTTCATTAGAAAAAGAAATAATTATTGTTCCTTGTTGCCTTATCTTGCCTATATCAATAACAATAAATGTAATTTTTTTCCCTAGAATATTGCTGCTGTTGCTGTGGAAACTGAGATCACTTTCCCACAAGTTGAGCAGGTAAAAATTTTTACCTCTCTGTAACAATAAAGCAAATTTGTGCAGCTTTTTGTTGGTTGCAATTCAATCTTAAGCTTATAATGTAAGGGCAAGTGATCCTTGTCCAAAGTTGCAGTTTTGTGATTAACCTAAAATGTTTACACATACCTTAAGCTAAAGTGACTCTATTGATAGTGAGTGTCTGTAGAATTCGACAGAGGGCAGCATTTATCTAAGAGTGGCTTAAAATTTTACAAAGACAGTACTCATTTTGGTTTATTTCTGTTTAGCTCAAGGCTTTCCTGGAAAATCCAGATGCATTTGCTTCTTTGGCTCCCGCTGCTGATGCAGCTTCTGCTGCTGCTCCCGCTGAGGAGGCCAAAGAGCAAAAGAAAGAAGAGGAGGAGGAGGAAGAGAGTGATGATGATATGGGATTCGGACTGTTTGACTAACCAGTTACATGAAAAGCCATCACAGATTAAAGCTGTTTATGCAATCACTTTGCTCTTGTTTAATTGAATTCTCAGACTGATAACTTCAATTTTTTTTAAGTTCAAATAATTCCACCAGTGATAGGACTCTAAAACCACTATAGAGCAACTAAGGTAATGGGTTTGTTTGCAGTTTCTGGTGTTTACATATAATTGTGCGAAAACACTCCCAACACAACTTTCACCGCCTTTTTTTTTTCACTGCATTATATCCAAGGAGTTCTTCCAATGCTTACTTACCCATTCCTTTTTGTTGTTTATGCAACCCACTGGGTACAAATTTGTTTCTCTCTTGAGCCATATGCGTCAGTTTAATTCAAAGATGGCAGACAAGTTTAGCAAGAAAATACTGAACACTTACATGCCATAAATACCCTAATCTCCTTCGCAGCCGTCTTTCGAGATTTCACGCAACGCTCCCCCGAAAGAGGGGAACGTTGCGTGACATCCCGAAAGACGGCTGCGAAGGAGACTATAAATACCCCCGCTCTGAAGGCTAGGAACACACTCCAACACGTAAAACCATATATAATAAAAAAATAAAAAAAAAACAGATCGAAAAGGGGATTATGGCTTTATTTGGAAAATGATGAAAATTATCCCATGAGTTTTAATGTTTAGAGGAACTTTCTTGACATTATGAGTTGAATTTCTCCTGTCTCCATATTATTTTCTTTTTCTTTCCTTGTACAAATAAGTACGACTTCCTTCGATCCGTTCGTTATCTTATCCTTATCCAGTCCCTCTTAAGTCCACGTAACATCTCACCAAAATCATTTTAACGTAATTTCGCAGAGCGGTTTTTTATTCCACCATAGTATTCAAAAGAACAGATTGTCATATCATGATTGACTAAAATGTCTCATTTCAACACTATTGTTGAGCATCAAAGAGTTTTTGAGAGAGTCTACAATATCTCAACTAAATAAAACTTGTCGGAGGGATACTGGGAACTCTCGTCACTCAGGGGCCTGGAGAGAAATGACGTCGCTTATGTGTTAACGACACAAATGCTTCTTGGCAACGACCCCCTTGGAAACCGGTCTGTACAAAATTTATTCTGGAGTAAGTATTGCTTACCGCAAGCTTTACTTTTTGAATAGGGTATTATATAAACACTGTGGTCTCTATGGCTTCCTCTTCTTCTTCGATGGATCGTCGAATTTCCCGTAGTTGACAAAGAGGAAGGTAGCGCGGGAAAGGAAAGAAAACCCGTTAAACCGACGCCATCTTCGAACCGATCATCGCTGACCAAGTTCTCTGATTACAAGGTTGTGTTAAAGAACCTTCTAGGCAATCATGAGTCACGCAGATTCAGGGTGAGTTTGAGAAAACTTTTGCATCCTGGTATCTTTATATTTCTTGGAGACAACACGGTTTTCTTTCGCTTTGTCAAGGTCAATCTCGTCTGTGTTGTTTGACAGAGAAGCGCTTAGATTGCTGTGACATTGAATACTGTAGATGTAGTTGAGTTTGTGAGCCGAGGTTGGTGGGGATTATTCTTTGATAACAGCTGGGATTTCTAGTGGATAATGCATAATAAGTTATAAAGATGCGATTCTTGAAAACGAGCGAGAATCGTTGTTCCCTGAGGTCTTTTGAAACAGGTAAGTTTTGACACTGTTTTTGTTGCGCCGAAGCGTAAAGCTTGAAGTTTCGACCTATCACGATATACTTCTTGCCTTGATTACATTGTGCTCTTGCTTCTGCCAAGTAATAACCAAACGTAAGCTAATCACGGAATTCCTGATAACAATATGGTTAGCCTCTCGGCGAAGGGAGTCGTCCTCACCACCAAATCAATTCCAAGGGCAGTGTTGCTTGCTGAATCAAGTACTCTGACCTAACTAAAGAAATTAGTTTTGCAGCTGCGGAATCATACAATAAAAAGATTTTAAATCTGTCGGTAGACAAATTGATATACCTGTCGTTGTAAATGCATACATGTATTATTGCTCGTGCACTCGTGTTAATTGTGTGATATAGTATTTTCCAATTAATGCCAAACTTTGAATAACCAATAGAACATTTGAATGGAGCCACAATAAATAGCCTCAGGGTATGCATTGTTCATGGGCTTAGGGTGTTATGAAAATCTTTGTAATCTTCTCTCCATTTTGATTGTCTTAGTTTATTTAATATTCCATCCTTCTGTTCATAACAGTCAATGTTCACCTGCAATTTTTCTGATTTGAACATTGTAAGATGGTAAATTTATAGTAGTCAAACACTGGTCGTTTCCTCAAGGAAATTTTTATTTGCTCTTTCATGAGGTCACTTATTAAAATAAGAATTAATGTATACTATACCTTTGGCCTTGTGAAATAAATGTTTGTCAGATTCACAAGTCAGTAGATTGTTTCTTTTAATTTGTGAGTGATAAGTTTTGCTTTCCCTGCATGAGACTTAATTTTAAGCAAAATTATTTTATTTTATGGTGAATCTATCCACAAAATGAAATGAGTCATTATATTTACAGTGCTGTTTGCATACTGATAATGCTTCAGCTAATTGAATTCATGAATTGAAAATTTACTTAATGCACTGTACTGTTAATCTTTTTTTCATTTTGAAACTCCTTTTTTGTTGTTGTTGCTTATAATATGATGGTATTAATGTTGTGGTTCAAATTTGTCAGTTTAGAATTTTTCAAACCAGTTTGATTTTAATTCTCATCTGTCTCAGTCTACTAGTCTAAAAATGATATCTGAGATAAAAGGATTAACAGGAATTATTACACGACTCGGGCAGTCAGAGGGCCAATAACTAAAATCAACCAATCAAAACGCTCTATTGCCGGTCCAATATTCTCTAAGTATTGGACTGGGCACTGTCCCAAATGGTCCCGAATCATGATACTGCACTTGTGTCCCTTTGAACTTCAGTTGTATAATAAATCTCTTAATAAGCAAGCTTGCTCAGGACTGTACTGGAACAATATTGGCCCTTGGTCTTTTTTGTACGGACCGAGCGCAGCTCAGTCCGCACAAAAAAATTTGACAGAGGTCTTGACAGTACGGACCGAGCGCAGCTCGGTCCGTACTGTCAAGACCTCAGGCTGATATTCTCCCAGTACAGCCCTCGCGCTTGGTTAATAAGATATATTTAAACTGGCATGAAATTTGTAAACCAAAAAAATTGAATCACCTCATGGATGTACAAATATACATGTATATTAATTAAAGTGTGTTGTTGTAGAAATTTCTATCCCCTTCACACCCCTTGAAATTTCAGTTCCAAAGGGTTGTAATGTCTAAAAGGTCATTCCACAGTATTTTGCATGTCACGGAGGGCACAATTCAGAGGAGAATATCATGGATAGCTCCCCAGCTTAATATAATTCAGTTCACTGAGGACTTCTAATGGATAGAACAGCTAATGATTGTTTTAAATCAAACTATTTCCAAACGACTCCTTCCACATTTGGGTGGAATTAGTCATTTACTTAGATTGTCACAGAGGGGACCAGAGAAACTATGAAAACTGAAAGTTAAAATTTAATCTCAGATTTCTGTGAATGTATAATGGTAGCAACAATAATTTAGTACATAGTTTATTTAGATGTTAATCAACAATAAAACTGCCTTAAATGGAAAAGGCCTTCCTCCTCTCTTACATTGTACAGGAACAGTAAGTGCTCGTGGTTATTGTCACGGAGGGGACTGTGACGGAGGGGACCTTTTGTCCAATAGGCAGCAGTGATCAATTTGAACCAATTTGAACCAATTTTCCAGCCTTAATATGAGTTTACAGCCCCAGTTTAATTCAATTCTTTTCAAGATATTCTTTAAAGCTTGACCACATGAAAAAGGTTGGCTGTCGTAGGTGTCGTCAAGCCTTATAAGACATTTAATTTATGGCTGGAAAGTATTCTGGAAAGTTGTGTCATGCTGTTTGTTCATATGATACAACACATTTCTTAAAAAAACCTTCATGTTTTTCTTTTTTTAGTTTTTATTTGGAAACTTTAGGTTCATGTAAAGTACTCAAGATAACACCAATGGTTCATTAAGACCTGGTACATACAAAAACATATACAACATTTTTAAAACTTACATGTATAACTAAAAATGTAAGCAACCCAAATATTTCAAGGTTTTGTGTTTCTGTCCCTCTCTCTTAATAAAAAGACTCAAAACTGCATTGTAGACTGCAAATATGCATGCATGCATGATATGCAAGATGTAAATATAATAATTATATAAGCTGAATATTGAACAAAAGTGCCACAGATTCAGAGGTGATAACGACTTACAAGTTTTGTATGTACAGTTGTACAGCTAACTGTTGACAATATCCAGTTCATACTAAAGTAGTCTAAAATCCAGTGCACTCTAAGTGAATAAACCTCCAAAAAGCTCAAATCTCATTTTCATAAATGCTGTAAAAGACAGCCAGTTATCATAGGCTTTCTTGTGCTCAGAATTAGTCCTGCTTTTTGAAAAACAGGTGCACTTTCTCAACTTCACCTTGCACTGAAAATGTAAATGGGCGATTGCCTTCCAGCATTACAGGACCATAAAAAATACAACTGCAATGTACCCTGTCCACGTCATGTCATCTTGGCCAGTCATAGCTGGCAGAGCTTATGCTGTGTTAGAACTGGAATTCTACAAAGCCATCTTCCACAGAAATCACCCGGCCAAAGTAAAAAGTTGTGACATAGTCTACAGCAAAGTACATCCCGACCTCCACCCACTTAGATGGTACTGGGCTGAGATGTTGAACATGGAGATCATGAATAATGGATTTCCTTACATCCACCATGTCCTTGTTAAGGACAAAAGGACAGGAAAGAGCAAGGGCTCTTGCAAACATGAAAACAAACACACCACAATCATAATCTGTTTCTTGTTGCTGTATATCATTAGAACTGTTTACATGAAAGGACCAGTCCCCTGGACTAGGCTGATTATCTGCCACAAGCAATGCACTCCACATCTTACAGACAGCTCTTTGGTGGGTGGGCTTGACAAAACTGCCAGCTGTACTCATATAGAAGAAGTGTTTTTTGTTCTTGATGAATTGAAGGGGAAAAAAGACAAGAATGATCAACATGAAATTACAGTCTCAATCTTTCTTTTTAACCATCTCATAATTTTCATCATTTTCTTTCAATCTTTCTCTGTATTTCTTTGTCCTCTCTTTAGAACTCATTTCAGCTCTACAGCAACTGCCAGTGCTGTGGTGATCGTGCTCAGAGCCTACAATCCCAGAATCCTTTACTTTTTGTTCATGTATTAGTCATGAAATGTGCAACTCTTTCTTTGACATTAAAAATGTTGTACTCACATCCACTTTTGACGCAAATTAACTTGAATTTTAAACTCAATAGTTACATTATTTTCTCTTTTAAGTGAGGAGAGTATAGTTTGTTGCATTGCATTATCTTCAGTGACAGTTAATTTTTCTTTATTACAGTGTTGTCCCCTCTGTTACAGTAATGTCCCCTCTGTGACAGAAAAGTCCCCTCTGTGACAAAAGTTCTCCTCCGTGACATTGTTATCTTTTTAAAGTAATTAAAAGGAAAAAGAAGTGGAAGAAACTCTTTACCACTTTTGAGTTTGTCAGCCCATACTTCAATAATTAACAGAAGTTTCTGCAGTTATCCCCATTTATTTTAGAAAGATCATAATTTTTTGTGGGTATTTTTGTCACGGAGGGGACAATTCAATGTTGGACAAAGCATTACATCTCTTCCGCTCAAAGCCAAGAAACAAATTTAATAACATAGGAAGTCTGGGTAAACAACTTAATGTCCTGACAGTTATTATTAGATTTCTTCTCTAGACAGATCTACAATATTCATTTAGTGTATGTCCCCTCCATGACAGCTTTTTTGGTATCAAGGTTAATTTATGATAATTTATGACACAAAATTACAGTGCTGACATCTCAAAAGTATCATTTTATACAAATTTGGCATTTAACTAGTACAGAAATAGAGCTTAATAGTCCTTTTAGTCAATTTTATTTCTTAAAGCTTTATGTCCAAAATACTGTGGAATTACCCCATATCATCCCAGTGGAATCATAATAGGGATGAATTCGTAGCCCCCTTTCAAGCAAGTTCTAAATGGTTTTGTTGTTAATTCTTCAACCCCTAAAGAGTGATTAGTATCTATCTCCCAAAGGTATCATATGCCTGGATTAAATATTAAGGTCACTATCAAGAAGCCATCGATAGTTAGCTAACCACCTCCTGGTTAGCTCAATTCTGTAGAGCCCCGGATTGCCTTGTGTGGGAGGTCGAGGGTTTGAGCCCTGGCCGGACCAATACTCCTCATCTTAAAATAACTGAGGAGAATTTGCTACCTTTCTATAATAATTATCAGCTGAATTAAGAAATGGATAGATATTCTAGTCTTCTCAGATAAGGAAGAATAAATCGTAGGCCTCGTCTCCTGCACGGTTAGGGGTAGGAAATGTTAATTTCCCATGCACGAGATTACTGTGTGGTGGATGCCCTCCCCTGGGGTGGGATGGGTGGGTGTCACAGGATCCCATTTAGACCAGCTATAAGCTGAACTGGGCTACCGTGTCTAAATATTCGTAAATAAATAAATTCTCCTAATGATAATAATAGGGGATTATGTACAGAGAACAGTAGACTGTACAAAGACATGACTGTATACTCATGTTAGAGTGTTAAAGATTAAAACAAAAGAAGAAAAGAAAGTGAATGAAATTAAATGGAGTTTAAGATAAGAAATAGAAAATTGAAATTTTAAGATTTGGAATGAAATTTAATCTGAACAAGTTTTATAGATCATAGATATGATGATCATAATTTGTATGTTGTTTTCATTTTCAGTCCTTTAGCTGCCTATAACAGCTTACAAGACAAGCATCTTGCTGGATATTTTTCAAATTCTCGTATGAAGAAACACTTGCAAAAGTCAGGACTGGTAAGAAACAAAAAATCATGTTCTTTTTAATAGCCACTTTAAGGGACCTATGTTGGTTGAAATCAAGTCATACTTGAAATTTTATCATTCTTTACAATTATAACAATTGGTTCATGCTTTAGCGTGCACTATCGAGTTATGGAGCACGCGGGAAGTTTGGAGAGCACGAAAGAAGCGTAAGAGTTGCCGGAGGCGATAGCCGAGGGAAACTCTAGCTTCTTGAGTGCTCTCCACATAACGATAGTGCACAGCTGAAAGCATGAACCAATTGTTTTAGAACATAGCCGGTGGAATTGTGCATCAAATCCGACGCGAAAAACGGACAACAATATCAGTTGAAGCGAATCGTGACGGTGCTGTTTCCGAGTCTCCTTTTCCTTTGTTTTTCTCTCTTTCTGCCTCATTTAAGAGCTCTAGCCCAAGGGAAAAGGTCGAAACATTGCCTTCGTTTTCGGACTAGTTGGCCGAGTTTCTGTTTGTATCCATTATTGTCGCGAAATATATTATTTTTCCCCCGCGCTAACAATGGCCGCTCGCGCGAAAAAAAAAGTTCTGGCGAAGTCGGATTTGCTGACGCTATCAGTGTGCACTATCGGGATTTTGAGCACGCTCACGTATAATGAATTTAATTGCGCGACTCTGCTAGCTATGTTCTAATGACAGTTAAATCTTACTTTTTGGAAATATTTTTGGAGTTTGTCAAAGTTTATCACTGATTACCCCTTTACTCCCAGAAATGATCAACATGTAACTTGTCCATTTGATAACCAAACATTATCCAGTAAACAGGTAATGAGAATACTCAAACTTATCAGGTAAAAGTTGTTATCTTGATCTAACACAAAATTCTCCTAACTAATTTAGAAGGAAATGACTATGTAACAGGTGTAGGAGAGAATTAATAATTATATCTTGGTGGCTAAAGGGTTAAACTATTACAAACTACCTTCAATTTACTATCCCTGCAGTGCTCGAAATTGAAAAAAAATCCAGGGCCGGGTTGTCCAAAGGTGGGTTAAAATAACCAAGGATTAGTGTGAAATTTGATTTCAGATCTGAAAGCTTTAAAAAAAAAAACTTCAGTTTAATTCCGTATGTCTACAATATGATAATTGAATGCTATAATGAAATGGGAAAAATCATCCCGAAACCACTTTTGAACAGAGAAATAAAGAAACCTGGATTAAATTTTAAACCTGGGTTAGCACTAATCAGCCTTCAAACAACTGGGCCCAGGTTGTCCCTATTTCAAAAGCCGGGCAACCAAAGCCGTGAATTTGGTTGCCCTGATGAATCCTTAGTTGCCCGGTAGAAATTTCACATGGTGGTCAAGCTTGAACTAATCCCATAGTTCTTAGTGTGCGGCAATGGTTTTCGTGGAAGTCTGGGTTTAAGTTGTGGTATATTCAAAATGGCGTCTTTGATCTTGATCACCTCCAGACAAGAAACTTTGTGTTTGTCTCTTACATTTTCGTACCTGGCAATGTTTTATAAAATTTACAGATATCTAAAACACAGGAAAATGCTTAGCTGAGGCAAATTATTTTTAACTTTGCACTATCGGACATTGACGAAACAAAACCGTCATGTAGGTCAGGGGCTGTTTATGGTTAATTTATTTTCTATTTTGGCTGGGTTGTCCATTTGTTTTTTCCCCAGACAACCAGCCTCTTGATTTTACTAAAAATTGGTTGCCTGGTAAACTTTTTGGTCGTCTCAGACGGTCAGACGACTGCTAATTTCGAGTATTGTCCCTGTAGGACTGAAAATGACAGACATTATAAGTATTTCTCCCTATATAAGGGTAACCTGCAATCGACCAGCATCTCATCAGTAACTACTCAAGGGAGAGTACCACTAATGGTAATATCCCTGCATGGTTGCTTCATGCTACAAAACTAGAGTCCTTACCTCTTTTACAGGAACAGGAAGTGCCAGTAATGTGCTTTTACCAGTCTGAGAGTGTAGTCCCTATCAATGAGGTTGTGGATGGGGCATGCTTTATTTAAGGGAGCTCTCAAGTTGATTATGTGGCTCATATTATAACTCATTGTTTATGGATCGTTATTAGGTAACCAGAAAGGGCAAGATCATTGATGAAAAAACATACAGACTGAACATGGCAAAAAAAGAACACAGAAAGCATGTTCGCGATCTCTTAGCAACTGCTATTGTACACAAGACATTGGATATGGAGGTATACAGTCACTCCTCTGGACAAATGAGTGAACCCTTTATAATTAGACCCTTACATCAATATGCATATTCTCTATACTGTTCTGACTATACATTTTCTAAGGGGCTGACAAGGAGAATCTGTTTAGGAGATTCTTCAGTTGTTGATCTTTAACTCTATTCTTGCGATTTCAATGTGTAATTCAGGAGTGATATGATATGGAGAAATTGGATTGCTTTAAAAATATTACATCCATTTTGAAATCACTGGTGGTCCCTGTAATCTGATTGCCTCTAACTGGTGCAATTTATTCAGAACTTGCACCATTTTTTGCTCTAAATCACACCATTTTACACTTGACTGAGTTTTTGACACATGACGTCAAAGTTTTTCTGTTTTGCGTACAAAATAAGATGTAAATTAATAAAAGCATTTCCAGTTCCATTTTAAAAACCAGCTCAATATTGCATCGATAGAATATTTGAATGGACCAAGTCCTGTATTTGGGCGATTTCAAAATGGATGTAATAAAGTGGTAATTGAACCTCGTGTCGTGCAATTTTGGTCTGAAATCATACTTGTGGTTTCAAATCAAACTCGCGCTGCATGCTCCTTTGATTTTGAAATCAGGCGTATGATTTCAGCCCAAATTGCACTCCACTCAGTTCAATTACTATAGGAAAATTCATTACTTGACGAGGGAATTCCACATTAAATGGCATGTGAAAACCGATATCACACAAATCGCAAAGCGATGAGTGCGATATCGGTTTTCAAGTGCAATTTAATGCGGAATTCACGAGTGAAGTAATCATGGATTCTCCTTGAATCGCATAATGGAATAAAAATGAGAAAAAAAGGAAACAGCATTTATACTTAAAATTGTCATGTGTATGTAGATGCGAAACAATATCACTTAGCCTCGTTTTCAACTCGCAATTTCACACTAGCATCATTTGTGGGTATTATAGTCAGGAGTGACATATAGCATCATTTGTGGGTAATATAAGTGTGCAAAGCAGACTGGATGAAGAGATTTTTCTTTTCTCAAGATTCCATTTTATTTAACTTCTAGATGTCCCTTAAGGAGATTGAGTAGTACTACATATATGAACAAGGAACAAAATAATATAATTTTTATCTAAAGTTTGTCAATAGAAAAGAATGTCTGAAAATTTACTTTCAATTGGTATAGACCACTTTCATAAATGGCTGCCGAATTAATATTCGTTATTTTAAATCTAAATTAGCCTTTCTGGCCTCGTTCTCCAGTACAAAATTCAAAAGAATACATTATCTCAAGCAAGGCCAGAAGGGCTAATTTAAATTTAAACAAAAGAATATTTATCCGGCAGCCATTTATGAAAGAGGTCTATTAAATAAAAGCACTAGACAGTTTTATAAGATTGCAAAGACTTGGAAGGTTTTGGCTTCTTTACTTAATATTGTGTTGAATGGTATACACTGTTTTACTTTGCAGAGGGTACGTCAGTATGAAATAAGAAAGAGATTGGATGAAATTTACAAAGTTGAGTTGGTCAGAAGAGTCAAGGTGATTATTATAAAGAATTTCCAGTAATGACTTTAAAAAAAATCATATTATTTAATAATAATTAGGACTTTTTTTAGTGATGAAAAATAAAAGTCAGAGCCTGTAGCTTTAAAGTCTTTGTAGAAAAAATTTAACCTTGTTTCAGGAGCATTAGCTTCCTTGAATATTGTCAAGTATTAATTTTTTGTTGTTGATAAAAAAATAAGAGTCACAGAACTAATCACAAATTATTTGCATATATCAACAAAGTTGAAATGGTAAATTGGCCACCGTTACGATTATAAAAGCTGACGTTTTGCTCATCTTTCAAACCGGCAGTCTAAATCCCACAGGAATCAACGAAGGCTTTTCATTCCACTAAGTTATTCATGTTTTTCTCGTTGCCATGATCCCACCAATTACGTAGCTCCTTTTTCTGCCTTTAAAAGCACACACAACCCACAATTCCTCTATTCGGTCCGACGAAGGGCTAACGCTCGAAACGTCAGCTTTTGTAATCGTTACGGTGGCAAATTTACCATTCCAACTTTGTTGATATATTCAAGTTATTTCATTACCCCCACCGACGCAGCCCCAAACAGTTTCTTTAGAAACTATCAGCCTTTAATCACAAATTATTATTAGAGAAATGATACTACTAATTTACCTAGGTGTTGCTAATGAAGATGTACTTTTTAAATAACATATTAATTAAAAGCGTATCACACAAACTCTAAACCATGCTTGATTTAATCTCTACTTTAATTGCACTTGTCTTGAGAGCTAATTTTCTTTGAACCTTCTTCTTTCAATCTTTCTCTATAATGTGATCTCTTCTCTTTTGCTTAGACAGTGGAAACTGAGTCAAAGGTGAGACTGTCTCTCTCAACAGTAATGTCTATTATGTAAACTTTGGTTATAATGAAAAGCACTGAGTATACAGCTTACCTAAGTTCTCGTAAGATAAAAGATTGTGGCAGTAGCAGTTATAACCAAATTTTAAATATGCTTTACAAATTAAAAACAAGCAAACAAATAAAAAATTGTATTTAGAGTATTGGTGGCAAGAAAAAAATAAAATTTAAATCTAATAAGTGAATCAATGTAACATATTACATAACTGCATGACTTTTAACAACACATTTGTTCAATTTGTACATATATGTATTGTTAGTAATTAGCTACATTAGAAGGGGATATGATACATGTGCATGTAAGGTATGTGGTAGACACAAACTAAGAGTACCTCATCTAAACATCCAACTTTTGGTAATGATTAGTGGTGGGTCCAATTTCATCATGTCAGTTGATAACATCCTAATAACAATTTGCATCGACATTCTGCAAACACTGTCAAATTTACTGTCAGAGGGTAGAACAATTGCTATTTTACCCTTCAACTCCCAGAAGAGATTAACATGTAATTTGGATATAATATTATCAACAAAGTTGAAATGGTAAATTGGCCACTGTAACGATTAGCTTTTGTAATCGTTACAGTGGCCAATTTACCATTTCAGCTTTGTTGATACATCCAAATTATTTCATTACCCCCACCAATGCAGCCCCAAACAGTTTCTTTTGAAACTATCAGCCTTTATTCATTTGATTAACATGTAACCTCCCCCTATGAAATCCATACATTATCCAGAAAACAGATAATGAGAATACTTCAAGTTGTCATCTTGATTTATATTGATGCCAAATTCTCTAAACTAGTTTAGAAAGAATTGTGTTCACTGTAGCATCTCGATGCAGAATCAACAATTAGATCTTGAGGTTATTTAAATAAAGGATTTTATTTAATTTATACTAGGTTACAGTTTGTTCTCTTCAGTAAAGAAAAAGTGTCTTTAGAAATGTATGATGGATAAAATGTAGATGCCTTCTTCTTCCTTTAGCAGTATGCTAATCTTTGGCCATATAACTTAGTGAGTCCAATTAATCCTTTTGAGCTTTGATTTTTGTAAATAAATGATATTGGGTTTGTAGAAAAACAAAAATAAAAGCTCTCAAATAAATGTTCAAAAGCACTGTGATTTTCATTTATTAATTTTTTTTTTTTGTTTTTTATTTTTATTTGTAGGATGGAAGAAATAGAAAAGGGGATGAGGATATTCTTCCTCTTCTTTCTCCTCGGGAGCGAACAGCTCGGCAAATGCATAAGGCACAACTCAGAGATAGGCCGTCTACAGCACCAGCCACAGTGGCCGGCCGAGATGAAGAAGACCAAGGGGATCTGAAACCTTCAGAGATCTATTATGACAATGATACCCAGAAAATTTACTACAGGGTAATAATCTTGATCTGCTAGACAGTTGTATCAGTTTTAGATTTACATTTTTATGGCATTGGGAAAAATGATAATACATCCTGTGATCTTCATCATGTGGTGCAATTAAATCAGTCTTTCTGATCCATTTGACACATGTGTGTGCAAAATGATCTATAGTTATGTTACAATGTAGTTTATAGCTCTGATCAGAAATGATAGAGGCCATGTAGCCTGCAGAGCAGGCGTTCTTGTGGAGTTTGGGCGAAAATTAGGACTTTGGGCTTTCTGTTTTATTTTGCAGACGGCGCGTAAAATGGAGCGAGGCGAACAATTAGAAGGTGGGGGGAGGGGGAGAGGTTCTTCTCTTCCCTTCTCCTGGCCTCCTAATTTTTCACCTCACTCCATTTTACGCGTGGTCTGGAAAATAAAACAGTAAGCCCAAACTCCACAAGAACACGTGCTCTGCTGGCTAGAGACCATGTAAGACTTTGGCATGGCTGTGCATAAAATTAGAGCTGTCATTCCTAGCAGTTCTTGAAGAGATTTATGCAAAATTTGGCAGAATGAGCTGTTTGCACATGCCTGATTTGATATTGAGATCTGTATGTGGGGTAAAACCATATGCCATCAAATTGTATCTGTAACAGTTTATGTTTCAATTTAGTGAGAGATGTCCCATATGGCAAACACAGCTTGCCTCTATTACAGCAAGATCAAGGGAGCCAGATCATGAAAGGCAAAATTTCCTTTGAAGATAAAAAAATTAAATATAAACTAGAATTGATATACTCCAGGAAAATTCTCTGATTAAGATTTAGTTCTTATTAACCAAGCGAGAGGTCTGTATGGGAGAATCTTGACCGAGGTGACGCCAGTACAGACCTAACGCAGTGAGGTCTGTACCAGTGACCGAGGTCAAGATTCTCCCATACAGACCGACCGACCTAGCTCGGTTAATAAGATGTTTATTATATGGCTGTGTCTAAAAAGCAACGGAACTTTATATTCTTTGTACCTTTTTTTTCTAGACCGGTCTAGATGAGAAAATCTAGACCACTTTCAATATTGATTTCAGCCAATCAAATTTTTGAATTCGGTAGTTCCCAGTCCTTGTGAGACACAGCCATTTAATAAATTCCGGTACAATATTCATAGTGTGATCAAATTATGTGCCAACAATTTGGTTTTGTTTGTTGCATTAGGTTGATTCAAATTTGTCTTCTATGAATGGCTATCTTAAAGATGAGACAGAAGAACTTGGTCCATCTCCATACACGAGAGCCTATCCCGCCACTTACCCAGCCCCAGCCCCTCCCCCAACAGGAACCCCACGACGCTCCAGGACTGCTGGCTCTACAAGGAAAGGAGTCAAGCTTCAAAGGGTATGTCAGGAAGTGAACAGTAAACAGTATGTGTTACCCTCAACATTACCTTTACTGTAGTACACAATTTTAAAAATTAAAGTTCAAGGGGTTTGTTGTGTTTTAGAAAAGATTGACATTTAGAAAACTTAAACAAACCTTCAATCATGAACACACGTACAGCACAAATTGCTAACAATAACCAAATATAGATATTTTACAAATGTTTTATAATATGCAAAAAAATTTCTTGTGAAACATTTGCTCATTTCAGCAGCATACACCTATGGGGAAATAATAGACATTGAATTGTCCAATCAGAGGGCATGCTTCACATGATTGATGCTATAAATTCATATAGCTAAGTTACAAAACATAATTTATGAATTTCAAAGTGATAGTTACTGAATTTTGCACACGAGGGGAACAATTAGGAACATGCAATTACATCATTTTGTAACTCTTAAGCTAATAATTATGTTCAGTAATTACAATTGATACCACAAGGTTGTGACTATAATTGTAGTTTGTCATCCTTTTGTAGTATCATTACTTGGCCAGAACTGAACCAGCAGTTGCCCGCAGAGTACAGGTATTAGAATGTGTTCCAATGTTTCAAGGAATTTTTTTTCTAATTCAAAAGTTTTAAATCAGTTGAATGATGTTTAATTTTATTGGCAGGTTGGGCATGTGGAGTGGCCAGAGGCTGGGGTCCATTATGTTATTATTTTTTTTTGTTTGTTTGTTTGTCTCACAGCTTTGTCTTTTTCTGTCTTTTTTTTCTTTTTACAAGGTTGTACCTTCACCTACCAATGTTTAGTGAAGCACAACTAATGTTCATGGAAATATTATGTATAATTATTGCAATGCCATTATTAAGAGACAATGGTGATTGAATTGGACTGTAGAAAATTACTTCTTTGAATTTTTGATACCTCTGAATGGACATGAAATGCATATTATATTGCACGGGTAAATACGGTAAAATTATGGAAAGCTTCATCTCTGTCTTAACTAATTAGAGAGATGTGCATTTTGCTCTTGAGAAGGAATGAATATTTTAACAGCTCCATCAGAAAGAAAGATTCTTAACTTGACGACTGCATGTTTATTTCTTTAGCTTCAATCCTTGGCAGAAGTGACAATGAAGTTTCTCGGTCCCAGTCTTGTGCTCACTAACAGCATGTTTCCAGAAGACAGATTATCTGAAGTAATGGTTCTACAGCAGCACTGTGGAGGAAGCACTCTGTGTGTTTTCAGAGAACTATTGCCTCCAAACAGTATGTTGTAAATGATTGACCCTAAATAAAAAAGTCTTGTTTCTTACGTAATTATGTGAACAACCAGACATTTGTCAAAGTACCCTATAAAGACTAAGCAAAATCTTCTTCATCTTCTGTTTTTGTTTTGTTTGTCTATTGTACAAGAATTATGTATACCTATCTTTCAACACAATAACCAGTTAGACATGTTTTTTATTGTTGTTGTTTGTTTTTGTTGTTGTTGTTTTTTTTTTCTTTTATTAGATGAAGTTTGATATTCCATTTAATATTTTGAAGGAAAAAACATCATTTACCACACGTTCAAAGTTTTTTTTTTTTTCTAATTTCATCTCTTTCCTATTTAAAAATGCAATTTTTTAATGCATCTTTTTTTTTTCAGCAATTTTTACCTTCATCTCACGGCGCCACAGAGGTTCTCCCTTTGGTGTGACATTTTACATTGATGGCATGCAAGACATTCGACTCAGCTGCTGTTGTGAATACAAACACAAACCTGGTCATATCATGGGGGGGAGAAATGGTCACTTTCAGTTTGTTCTTGTTGAAGGAGCTGCCCCATGTTACAGGTAAACTGTTTTACCTGTCTTGTATTGTTATTGTTGTAATATTGATCAGTAGCACGCTTGTCACGCGCAAATGGAAAAATCACGGATTTGCTCGAATCTTTTAAGAATTTCTCGGCGCACAATGATCGGACCTGCTTGAGACTTTCCAAAATAGTTACACATATGTTAAAGATGATTTTGGACTAAACAGAGGTAGAATAAAGGTTTTTTGAAAAAATTGAATCGGAGCCGAATTGTAAAGTTAGCGACAAAAACATGGCGTCACGCGTAACTCGCGTGGGCTTCACTATTCACTGTTTTTCTGTTTTTGCCAGCGTAAGTTTCGTCTATAGCCGTAAAACTTAACAGGTGATGAAAATGGTTCCCTTTTAAGCGAAGTGGCAAACAAAATCCTGACAATTGGGGCTAAATCTTTGTTAAAATCAACAAAAGTGTTCAACATATAATGCATCACGCTTAAAGCTTGGTAGAGACAGATCATTTTCAATTCATTGTGCGAGTCATAATTCCCGAGTGACAGAACAATTTAACCTCAAAATGTAATGCTCATAAGTTGCTTTTCGCTCTCCTTCCGTTTTTTGTGTTTTTATTGAAGCGTTGTCGAGATATGAATTTTTTTCTGCGTTCTAAACAGTTGGCAAGCGGTGTGATCTGCCGCGCGATAATTCTGGTCATTGAATTTCCCAATCGTCTTGTTTACGAAGAGTGCACTGGAGCGTGTAAATGTTAACATACGCAAAATGCTCAAATAACAAGCTAAATTTTGCTACCAAAATTGATCGAATCCGTTGAAAGCCGACGAAAATATTAGCAATAAGTTTTGTTCGAAACATTTGGTCGACAAGTTTGATCCTGAGGAAGGTAAGTGATCGAATTTCGAGAAAAAACAAGCGCGACGCTCTAGTCATTTTGACGGCTTCCTTCGCTTCCAAATCGTCCCAAAGTCTACAGAATCAAGCATTGTTTTCGATTTCCTTATTAGGAAGTAAAATATTGCATTTCGTCAGAAATGAGCGGGAAACCCCCTGAGCACGTGCCGCATGTTTCAAGGACGCAGTCAAGTACACGTAAGTACAAAAGGCTGTGTTGTTCGCAAGCACAAGGCTGTGAAATTGAATGCAAAGATTATGGATTCTGGAGTTTCTAGGATTCAAATGTGGCGAGAACAAAAGAAGAAGGAAAGACAAGAGAAAAGAAGAGCACATTATGAGAAAAACCGAGAGAAAATTATTGAAAAGGTCGTGGAAGCCAGAAAGAAAAGTCGAGAAGCCAAGAGCGGACAACGGCGGAATGTTCCTATCAAAGATGCCACAAAGAAACGTCGGCGCGAACGAAACCAGCAAAAGACAGGTTCAAAAAATAAAGGGAAACTTGAGGAACAGAGAAAGATGGCTAGAGAACGAAGTAAGCGATACCGTCAAAAAAAGAAAGACCAAAATGCACAGGTTCAAGCGGAAGCCACACCGATCGACGTTACTGGTACGCCGTTCCCAAACAGGATGGCCAAGAAACGTGCCATTGGACGAACTAAGAAGAGTCTCCCAGATACACCGGAGAAGAAAGCAGAAATAATGGCAGCTATATCAGAAAGTCCACGTACAAGGAAAGTACTCGAGAAACGCGGACTAATGAAAACACCAGAAGAGGAGAAAGAAGTGAATGCACTGAAAGCGCTTGCTAGCGATCTCACCCAAGGCCTTAAAGCCGTCAAAAATGACAAGTCAAACAAAGGAAGAGCTGCACTTGTCGCGGCAAAATCACTTTCTTTTGGTCAAAATGTTAAAAAGAGTAGAAGCCAGAAGACACTTTCAAAGCTCATAGCCTTGGATAGAAGAAGCATCAAGTCGGGAATTGAAAAACGCGAAATGATCTTAAAAGGTGAAGAGTCAAGCTGGCTTGCAACCAAACGAAAAACCAGGCGGGATGCAGTCACTGAAGAAACCAAAGAGCTTGTTTATGATTATTGGAAAATGGTAGCAAGTAGACCGACAGGAAACAAGAAAGACTTGATTAGAAAACGCGTTGGAGTGAAAACGTGGGTTGAACATCCGAAACACGTGCTTGAAAAAACCCAAACGGAAGCCTACGTAGAGTTTGCGTCAATGCATCCAGAGATAAAGATATCTCAGCGAAAATTTGAAAACCTGAAGCCTTATTTTGTTAGGGGGGCAAGGGAACGAGATAGGCAGACTTGCATGTGTCGTCAGCACGTTGAACTTCAAATTGTCTTCAAAGACTGCATGAAGTTTAGGAAGAGAGTGATTGATGAAAGCAGGGAAGCTAATCAAGCAGCTACAGAAGTGTATAACTCAGTTGGAAATATTATTGCGCAAACACTTTGTCCCAAACCCGAAGATCAAGACTATCATAAATTGAAATGCTTGAAAAGGGAGTGCAAAGACTGTGGAGTTCACAACTTGGTTTTGTTGCCAGAGGAGAAAGGTGTTGGCAATCACGAAGTGAAATGGAAGCGTTATGACTATGTGTCGACTGGAAAACTTACCACTGATGGAAAAGACATGAAGAAAATAGCCCTTGTCGAGAAGTGCACAGGACCAAAGGAACTGTTTGATTATTTTATTCAGCTGTTAGGACAGTTTCCTTACCATTCCTTTCTTGCTAAATGGCAGAGGGAGCAGCTAGATTCTCTTCTTGAAAACCTTCCTCTTGATCAAGCTGTGTGCATCCACGACTATTCCGAGGGTTATGCCTGTCGGTTTCAAGATGAAATCCAGTCCCAATACTTTGACGTAAACAAAGTAAGTCTTCATGTCACAATTCTTTACAGGCATTCAAGTGCTGAGGTGGATGGCATCCAGAGCACAGAAGAGGAACCAGCAATTTGTAAAGAGCATTTGTTTGTGATTTCCGATGACGTCACCCAGGATCATGACTCTGTCCTTCACATCCAGAAGTTAATTTCAAACCATTTAGAAGAATCAAACTGCACTATCAAGAAAATGCATGAATTCACAGATGGATGTGCAGGACAGTACAAGAGCCGACACTGCTATGGTGACCTGTCATGTTCCCTGGCAACTCTTGGATATACAGTCCAGCGAAACTACTTTGCCACCTCCCATGCAAAGGGAGAACAAGATGCAGCTGGCTCCCATGTCAAACAGAAGGCAACCTCAGCAGTTCTCTCCAGGAAAGCCACACTATCAAATGCAAAAGATCTTTGTAACTTTCTGAAAGAGAACTTCTCTGAACCAGCTGCTTCCTCATTTCCTGCTAGGCAGAAGTCAGTGCAGTTAAAGCGGCGCATCTTTTTCTATTTGCCATCTACTGGGGAGCTGAGTGTTGCACGTAACAGGGACGGTGGAAGATTCTGCACTGTCAAAGGCATCCGCCAACTACACTCTGTAAGAACTTGCAGTGAACAGCTAAAAGTCTACACAAGAGAAAGGTCTTGTTACTGCCATGGTTGCATTGTTGAGGATTTTGACAGCTGTGAAAATAAGGAATGGGTGGGCAACTGGAAGGAGATTGTTCTGTCAAGAGAGCCCTCAGGTGTCATGACCAGGACAACTGAAGATGCAAGCACCATTGAACATTCAGTTCAAGTTGCCGACCTGGCAACGAAAGAAAGCACTGTGGCTGTGGCAGCTGAAGATGATAGCCACTATGATTACTACCTCCTTAAAGTTACTAGCAATGGAGTCATTTCCCTTCAAGAAAACTTTGAGGATCCTTATAGTGGAAGCATTTATTCCAAAGGAGAAGCTGTTCTTCTTGGAAATTTCTTTTTAAGGGAGAACATTATTGATCGCACATACAAACTAGATGATAAGGTGGCAGGAGTATTCCCAGGAACTGTGCGGTACATTTGTGGACCACTTGTGTCAAAGCGAAGGAGAGCAAGACCAATTTATCAAGTTCCGTTGGATGAACATGAACAAATTCTGGCATCCCTTTAACTGTTTTTGCTCTTAGTAGCTTCAAATTTACATTTTTTGCCGAAACTTTCCTTAAAATATGGTATTTATGCATTTTTTTAAAAAAAGGGCGTGGTCGCATTGCATCATGGGTAATAGAAAATTAGCTTGAAAGGCGTCCGAATTGATCAAGATGACCTAATTTCAAGATAGGAACTAATTTCCTTCCCTTTCTGACTTATTTCTAACAAAAATAGATTCATTAAAATATTTTTCAATTTTACCCCAATGTTACGCCTTTGTACATCAGAACTGTGCTACTGATCACTATTGTTTCCATTATTACTGTTATTATTATCTGTTATTATTATGATTAGTAGTAGTAGTAGTAGTAGTGGTGGTGGTGGTGGTGGTGGTGTTGGCGGCGGCGGCGGTCGCGGTCGCGGTCGTGGTAGTGGTAGTTAGAACAAGACCTAAGGCCTTAGAAAGCAAAGCCATCCATTATGAATCAGCAATGCATTGTTTATAATTAACCATTATTCATGTGATCTGTGCAATGCAGATTATGTTGGTTACACGGCCGACACCATTTTCAACGCATTGCTAGACTCAAGAATTCAGCAATTGGAAGACGTATCATTACTGTGCACGGTAGAATGCTTAAAGGACGATCTTACAGTCCATACATTGGCGTTGAAGCGTATGAGAATTAGTTTTTCTTCTACTTCCAGTTGCCATCCGTGTGTAAAAAATGTCTCTATTAGCAGAATTGAACGACTGCAAAGCGTGAGTCTGACTTGTTCAGTTGGAGTATGATTGAAAACAGGAATTTACGACCTGTAGTGATACTAGTTGATCAAAACTTTGTAAAATTTTGAGAAATGAAGCAGCCATCGGTTATACATTTTCTTAAAATAAAGACAGTTACCTGGCAAATTGCGCGGCGATAGCGCGCGCACGTGACGCGTACTGTCCAATTGCATTAGCTGATGATTATGACGTGGACACTGTTCAATTTCAAGCTCGACGCGTACACTGTGCTATGAGCGCTCATTAATCAGGCTGGTGATAAACAATCACCTAGAATTTTGTTATTGTTTTCAAATGTGTTGTTATCATAATTATTTGTAAACGAAGATAGCTTCTTCTTTTGTTGAACAAGCTATCGAACTTAGCTTATCATCGCATATTTTCTTTCTTCAAGAAAATTCTTGTGATGAATTACAAGATTGACAGTTATGACATTACTGTAATAATTTCTCGCTTTGCAGGTGTCAAATTGCATCAGCTCACAGACATTCCAGGAAGCATAAAGCTGATGATGAAGCAGACAGATCTAAAACTTTTATGACTGAGGTAACTTTAATAGATCTTTTGACACTTTGCCATTTGGAATTGAGGCATTTTCTCAGTCTATGTGATGTTTTAGTCACTTTTTTTGCTTTGTTTAAATCTTGGACCTAAACTGTATGGCTGTTTCTCAACTTGCAGACAGCTAATGAAGAAGAGGAAGAAGAACGAGCAGAGACATTTGATGTGATAATAACAAAGATTAAAACTGAATCGGAAGGTGATCAGGAAGATAGAGAGGAGGAAACAGGTAAAAACGTCATCACTACTGTAATATTCGTATCTTTGTCGACGTACAGTAGTCCGCCTAAAAGTAAGTTCACAGTCTCGACTCGAGGTTCAAGAATTGATGCTCGAGAATGGATCGATAATCGAGTATCAAGAATCGAGGATCGAGAATCAAGGATCTAGAACCGAGGATCGAGGCGTTCGAAGAGCTTTTCGAGGATATCGATGCGCCTGTTCAGGGAAACGATTTAGCGCTTGACACGAAGCTTCTCTCATGACACCCAGGCCGCTTGATCTTTCTTGATTTACATTCAGCAGGTGTAATCTTTCTGCGCATTTTAGTAAACTTACCATTTTACAGTAAGGCAGGTCATTTCTGATTGACGCGAGTGCGGAATAAATTAAGAACCACTATTGTTCATAGAGTTTTAAATTATTATAGATCAAAGTTATTTATAAATAGAAATTAAGGTAAAATAGATTCTTACATGATAACTTAGTAAAAAAAATGTCAGCATACAGTTCAAACGATAGAATTTAACATCATTGTTACCTGTGAACTACAGGTCATTAGTGTATCTGTAATCTAGTTGAAGAAGGATGAATTTTGAATTAAAAAAAAACAAACAAAAAATCATATCTTATATTTCAAGCGGCAGATGTGCTTATCTTTCTTTGGCAAAGCATGTAAGGAACACATTCAAAAGTCGTCACCAAAACAAAAGCACTTGAGTGGCATGTACAATCATATCACTTATTTACAACTTAGAGCAATATTCAATCGAGTGTCGAAATTAACCCAGACTTGCTTTGCTTTTGTTTTACTACGCTCTGTGATTGGTTCAGAATACTTGCACCTCTCTCTCAACCAATCAGATGTAAAACTAAAGCCAATCACGAATTGGTCGCCCGCGTTTTCCCGCGGTCTAACTGTTTTGTCCTCCCTGTGTCTAAATAGCACGCTGTAATAACACTTTGTTCAACACAGATACACATGCCTTCACGGTAAAAGCATTTCCCACAAGCGGCTCTGTTGAAATAATATCTTGTAAGTAAATCAAGTGAAATAAAGATAGGAATAGATACAAAAGTCCGAATTTTTTAATAATTTTTAGACGATAATGTTTACAAAAACACAGCGGATAACCAAGAAAAAAGCCTCGAGACCTAGGTAATCTACGGCTTCAAATGGTACTTCGCCGAGTACTTTTGTTTGAAAGAGGAATGTGTAAGGAGACGAACTGCTTACTTTTTCTAGTAAGTAAATGATCATTTTGAATCAGTTCTAAGATGCTTCCATGAAACTCCACCACAGTAGTCTCGCATTTGATACAAATTATGTGATTGTTTAAAAAAAAAAGAAAAAAGGTAAATCGGGATTTTCAGAAAAAAAAAAACTCGAGATTTTTAAGAGATAAAAATGAGATTTATAGACGTTTCTTTTTTCGGTAATTGTCCTGGCAGACTTTCAGGCCGTTTTCGGGATTTTTGTATCTAGGCCTAGATGAAGACGTTACTATTGTGCGATGAGATAGAAATTTTATAAGTTTTTACTTGTCATTTGAAAGATAAAGTTCACCAAGTACCAGGGCCTTATCATTTACTGACATCTAACTGCTAAGTAAGCACACTAACTAAGTCAATAATATATATTTTTTCCTCTTACTTTTACTCACAAGCTACACGCACTATAATCAAAATCTAAGGTATATTACTTTTTGCCATTAAATTTTTAGTCAACATAATGGCAAGATGTTTCTCACTTAAACTAATTCAATTTCCAATGAAAGATTTGTAGACTAAAATAACGTCGTGTAACGATTAAATTTAACCTTAATTTAAATAAACTAGTTTGAGTTAGTTTCTTGTCTTGATATTTAAGTGAAGCTTGTGGTAAAGGATTTGACCCATGTAATGTTAATATTTTTATTGTTTCCATAACATGCATTCAGGCGTTCAAACACTCACATCCTTTGGTTTTTACGTTAAAAATATTTTACTATGGCAGTCATTACCCCATCATTTATTTAGACTACACATCTAGTCTGGCCTGAAGAGATGCCTTAGAGATGCTTGCACTCTTAAATAAATCCACCTTGGGTAACATTAAAACTTAACAGCACGAATTGCAAAATGGCGACCAAGAATTATCTCGCCGCCTGTGAAAAAGAAATGTCGAGTAGGATCAAAGAAGTCGCAGCTGTTTTGGCCATCACCTTAGTTGTTCTAACTTATTTTTAAGAGAACTAGTGGCTTTTGTGAAATAATCCTACGGTTTTTCAAATAAGTTTTACTTAAATATTCACATCTGTTTTTTTTCTTTTAACTGACAGACGAAGGTGGAATGATAGACAATAGTACCCAGACCCCTCGTGATGAGAATAGCTCTCGGGACAAAGAAGAAGCGATAGTTGAAGATGAGGAGAATACTGAAGAGAAAAATCCTGGTAAGACATAAAAAAAAAAAACCAGATGAGTTTCCTTTCATTTGAAGACAGTGTTTATTGAATTTCTCCAGATGGGTTTTGCTACCTTTGCAGTAATTAGCCAGTTAGTAAATCGGAGCGAAATAGTGGCGGCAGAGCTAGAAAAATGGGAGACTAGGGGCGAGTCGCGTATAGAAGGGAGTTTGGGTCATAAGTTCTTTACACAACTCGACCCAAGCCTCCCTCGTTTTTCTACTATCGCGCCTTGTCTTACAAACTGAGCGCCTGAGACAGGTTATTCGGTTATGTGAACGTCCCGTATGTAGTTGGCCTATAATTGTGTTTTCACTCTAATGAATGGCTTTGTGTGATTGACAAGAATGCAATTCTTTGTTTTGTGACAGATGAAGGAGGTGGCGAAGGTGAAGAATCAGGAGCTGATGAATATGACGATGATGAGTTTGAGGAAGCCGCAGATAAGAAAAAAGACAACGAGGAAGAAAGTGACTCTAAACATGAAACTGATAAAGAGGACGACAAGGATGATAACGATGACGAGGAATATAATGAAGACTTCGAGTCGGATGGAGAGAAAGAGAATAGCAAGTCCGACAGTGAGGCTGAAGAGGATAAAGATAGCGAAAAGGAAGAAGACGAACCTGAAGATGATATTCAAGATGAAACAGAGGAAAAAGAGGTAACTGACACCGGAAAACAAGAGGAAGACGCGGAAGAGGTTGAGGATGAAACAGATAAAGAAAACAATCATGTGAGTGTTAACAACTAACAGAAGAAAGTTCATACAGAGATCTCCTCGATTATGTGTCGTAAAGCTAAGAACCTCAGTATTCAGACAGGCAATTAACCTGCAGACCAGGCGTTATTTTGACGAGCGAGCGCTCAGTATTTTCTTGGCGAAAATTATGGCCCGTCATCTTTGATTTTAATGGAAGCAGAATGCTGAAGAGAGAAAGAAATTTGTACCAAGGGGGTGAGCGACATTAAAAATATCAGTTAGGATGGGGGTGGGGGTGGAGTAGTGAATATTCGCCCCTTCCAACCCCCTCCACCTAACGTTAGTTCGCCTTGTACTTTGTAGCCCTAGCCCACCAGAAAGATTGTTCACCATGCCCTCTTCAACGAGTACAGTGACACATAATTGTTATTTTTTTCTTTCTTTTCTGGTGGTGAATTTCAGCAATGACTGACTTTGCATAAACTACGAGTCAACAATTTTTGCGTTAGTGGTATTCAATGGAAACCCGAACCAATACACATCTCGATTGACCTTTTTAACGTTTGACTCTTTGTTGTTGTTGTTTTTTTTTATGTCAGGATGCTGGACGCCCAGCGAGTGCCACAGACTCGGAAGGAAGACAAAGCAAGAATGTCTCGTTTGATGAGGATATCACTGTCATTGAAGATGACCAAGATGGAGAGAAAGGCGGGGAAGATGAAGAGGTATGGCAGTCAAACGACTCGCCCGTCATGCGCTAAGCCAAGTGCGAGGTCCTCCTCAAATTTCCTTTGCTGTCCTAATCGATTTTTTCAACGTTAAATGAGGATTACTTCAAAAATAGTCATATAACGTATCATTTTGCCAAGCGTGATCCAGTTAAAACAACTTGTGAAAAGATCGTAAGACTTACTATATAAAGCCGATTTTATGCTACGCAAGCGATATTTTCCGAAAGGAAGTGTGTAGGGGTTAGCCCCTCCCCTCCCAAAAAAGTGCGTTGTGTGGGAGGGGGGAACTTTTTCCTTCTTCCTCTTCCCCTACCCCTACCCTCTGCTCTATCCACTCCATTGCCTTTACCCTGTAGTTTGAGACATATGGCCAAATCCAAGGAGATGGACAGGTTGCAATTCTAGGCCAGGAACGTTTGAAAAGAAATGGTCACAGAGATGTAGAGGAACAGCCGGTGATCAATGATGTTCTCGATAATCTTGATAAGTAACACGTTGTTCACTTCTGTAGACTCCAGACGAAGTACCAGACGAAGTACCAGACGAAGAAGAAATGCCAAACGAGCAGAAACCCGGTGCAAATACTCCTGAGCCGGTTGACGAGGAGGCGGAAGACGTCCCTGAATCTCCGGAACAGGAACGGGAGGACGGAGGCACTAAACCTGCCAAGGAGGAGCATAAAGAGGATGACCGTCAGGACCGGAATGATACCATAAAATCTCCAGAGCTCAGTGGCAGCAGCAGCAGCAGCAGCAGCAGCGACAGCAGCGACAGCAGTGACAGCAGCAACAGCGAGGATGAAGGGGAACGAGGTAGGATAGTCAGAGATGTTTGATATCACACTGTCTGCTCCGACGAAGGGCTAACGCTGAAACGTCAGCTTTTGTAATCGTTACGGTGGCCAATTTACCATTTCAACTTTGTTGATATATCCAAATTATGTCTGCCAGTAAGACATGAACACCTTAATTGTTAAGCGAATTGTAATCTTATTTTAAGCAAAGATCCTGGAGTTTTAAAATGCGTCACACATGCATAGGATGCCAAACTCGACACTATTTAGAGACGTAAAGTAATAAAAAAAGTTGCCAAGAGTAAACTTGCACTCAAACGTAAATCTCACTTTAAGTTTAGACTAAAAGCGTTAAGTAACAAAAACAGTTCTATCTTGCTGCACAACTGTCAAAGGTAGGTCGCCAAATTGGCGACTTTCGAGGTAGGTTTGCTCGCTTAATTTGTTTTCTACTCGCCGTGGCCAGCAAAGCAGTCGCATTTCAGAGCACTGCCAGCATTTTTTTGTTGTGGTTGTTGTTGTTGTTGTTTTTATTTTTTTTCCGAAATTGGTCACTGTCAACTCTCTGTTTCTTGCTTATCAGCAGAGCGCAAGTCAACAGAGGAAAGGAAAGTGACGTCAGAATCTGATCAAGATCCCGGTAGTGATCCAGACTTAGTCTCCTCCGGACAGTTACCGGATCAGGCTTTGAAGGCAGTTGGCGTGCAGCCTGGTGCCAAGCACGAGGGTTCAGTCAGTGCTCTGCTGGAAGGGAAAGAGGATGTTGACATCGCTGGCGTCGAACTTACCAAAGAACAGGTACAAAAAGGAACGATTGAAGGAGTTTGAAATTTTTGACACTCAAAGCAGTAAACTCACCTTTGATTCTGTAATTGTTCTTTTTGATTCTCACAGGTTGAAGAGGTTGCAAGCATCATAGACTCGCGCGAAGAGCTTGGATCAATCATTCTCAGAAATGCTTCGTTAGATGACGATATGCTAGGAATACTGGCTCCTTCTCTAAAGAACAGGCTTGATTTAAAGGTGCGGTTGTTAATTTATTACCTAAGGCAGTGAGTTATGTCGTCATAGAGATGTACAAGAACAGCCGGTGATCAATGATGTTCTCGATAATCTTGATAAGTAGCACCGATATTAACTGTTATGCTTGCTTGTTTGTTTTTTAGATGCTGAACTTAAGTGTGAATGCTTTCGGACCCGAAGGTGCAAAACACCTGGCTGAAGTAATCAGAGAGAACAATTCAATCAAGATGCTGCTGTAAGTAACTACTGATTTTTAAGTCTGTTTGTTTGTATGTTTGTATCATTTGATCAAAAGTTTATCAAAATTTTCTGGTAGCGTAGCGTCGGCAAAGCGAAGATATGTCAAATTCGAATCCCTCACACTGCAGCGGGAAAATCGACCAATATCGAATTTGTTGTTCTTTTTCAGGTTACATGGAAATAAGTTAAACGATGAAGGAGTTGGAATACTAGTTAACGCTATTTTAGAAACCACAGGCACGGCAATAATGAACCTGGACTTGGGAGGCTGTGGCATCACGCAAGATGGCGCCAAACATATCGCCAAACTGATCGAGCATAACCAGACGGTCTCCATACTTACGATCAGCGGTAACAGCATTGACTTAGAGGGTTGGAAGAGAATTAGCAAGGCCTTGACCACAAATAGCACTGTGGAAACAATTTCTCTTGACTTCAATGATTTAGGTGACGAGGAAGCTATTGCCCTAGCTGAAGGCATACACGGATGTTCAAGCCTTAGCTATATTGACATGGAGGGGAACAAAATCGGTGACGAAGGAGCGCTAAAGATGTTTGAAGCAGTGAAAGCCAATAAGTCAGTTGTCGACCTTACACTCCTGCCAATGAATCAGATATCAAAAGAACTATCTGATGAAATTAAGCAGTTCCTGACGGAAAGAGAAAACGATCGTAAGAATAATACACGTCGGGAGGAAGATAGTTATGAACAAGAACATGGAGAGAGTGCAAGTGAACGTGAAGGCGAGGAAGACAAAACAGAAAGCCAGGAAGACAAACGAGATGGCGAGGAAGACAAACAAGATGGCGAAGAAGACAAACAAGATGACGCAAAAGACGAACAAGATGGCGAGGAAGAAGAACAAGATGGCGAGGAGGTGCACGCTGAGACGGGTGAAGTACAAGCGGAACAAGGAGAAGGAGAGAACAATAATGAAGGACAGCAACAACCTGGTGGGGATCAACTGAAAGAAAGTGATCATCCTGCCCCTGAAAAGGAAGGCGAAGGGGATCTTGAGGAGCGAGAGCCTGCTGCTCCTGAGGCTGATCAACCGTCGGGTGAACTTCCTGCTGAAGAACAAGGTACAACGAAGGATAACGATGATGAGCAACAGAATGAGCCTGTAGAAAGTTCTGAGAAGGAAACGTCCCGGGAGGATCCCCCTGAACAGGAACCGCCTGAAAGAGGACAACCTGAGGGAGAGAAAGACGATACTACCCCTCAGGATTCAGGAGAATCACTCAATCAGAGTACGAATGACGAGGACACGCGTAAGGCAGACTCATCAACAGAACGAGATGCTAAAGATCAGGAAGAATCGGGGAAAGACAACGAAGAAGATAAAGAACCAACAGTAGATTCTGTGTGATGTCTTCCTCCTACTTTGAATTGAGAGGAAAATTAATCTGATGTCGCCGTGCAATCCGCGTCCATCCCCTCCATCCTAAACCATCCGTGTTCTGTTTTGACTTTTTCTTGTCTTTGCGGTGTCTGTCTACCTTCGCCTATTTTTATTTCAAAGGCTTCACTGCCATGTTCATCATTTTCAATGGTCGAACAAAACAACCCGAAAGAACGTATTGTAGCTCTATTTTCTTACAGTTTTATTATAAATGAATTAGCTGTAATGCGAGTAGAGTAGGTTTAGACAGGGCCATTGTTTAAGTTTTATTTACTTTTGAGAGTTTATCCCCTTTTCTCTTCCCTCCGTTACATACCATTAATGATCATTAATGAGTCACAATTGATCAATTTAAGACTGTCGTATGACGAACCATAGGACAGTTACAAGATTGAATTCTCTCCCCCCTTCCCTCGCGTTTGGACAGAAATTCCGCCGTTAAATGCGGAACTGCTCTTTTTACCAACCCCCCGCCACCCTTCTTTTTATGTGCTGAAAAGAATTTCGTTAGCGTTACGGTGTTATTTTTTTTTCTATACAATACCGAGTGATAATGTAAATGTTTTAGGGAAGACCGTGTTATTTTTCCTCAGTGATTAGTGACAAAGTTTTAAGAAAAGTAAAGGATCAAAGGACAGCTAGTGTCAGACAGTTGGCTCAACAGCCCGTATACGAAAATGGGAAATCTGTCAAAATTGTACATAAAACATTTCATGTGACTTTATCTGACCATATGAGAATACACAATTGTTATATCGTGAATCACCCAGAAATACTTCACGCCAATAACACACCGATTAACTCCAATTTGGACTCTGCGCTCGGAGAGAGTTTTTCACTATACCAGCGATTTTCGAATGCGACAGATGTAAAAATAGAAAATTCTTAAATTTCGTTGTAAATATTATTTGAGAAAACAAAAAGTTGAATGGGCACCTTAGCTCTCAAATAAAGCAGTTTGTTTTTACAACTGTGCCTCGCCAATTTATTTAACTTAACAAATGAGAGGAGCATAGATTACTGCGATTTTTTTGTTTGTTTGCTTTTCTTGTTTTATATTTGGTTTAGAACGCCCTCTTACATTAAGCCTTTCTTTAAGGTGAAGGTTCAGAGCCATGCCCTCCAGATGGCTTAAATTGGCCGTTTTCAGAGACAAGAACCACAGTGCACAAAATTACAGAGAAAGCACAGTATTACATGTAATATCCATTGAAGTACTCGACAATTACTGCGGTAAAATAAGATATCAAACACTTTTACCAACAGCGAGGGAATAATTATTCTGGTATGTACCAACGGACAATAACCAACGGAATAACCGACGGACCCGACAGTTATTTTATTTCTTACAACAAGCCGCCACGCGATGCCAACTAACGGCAAGTATGTCTCATTTTCCTTCGGAGTAGACCTAGTTGTTGTTTTTTTTTTTTGTTTGTCTTTTTTTTCAGCTGCACGGATGTTATTTCTTCAATTACGTTCTTATTTTATTACATTTTTCTCCACTTAAAAACAATACATTCTTTTTTGTCTCATGCTCACTGCAAAAAACGACAAACACTTTTTCTCTTTTCCATTGATGACAGCACAATTTTATCATCTTTAGTAACCGCTTCTGTGATGTTAGAAATTGGGACAATCACAATCTAAGCAAATGACTTGTTAGGCCCAAGTTTCTCTGATAGCAGGTGAATTCTATAGAATTTTTTTTAATATTAGTGATCATTACAAGAAAAGAACATGGATATGTTTAAAAAAAAAGGAAAAAACTTTAATGACAGAGCGTTATTTTCCTAATAAAAGAGTATTGTACAGCAAGATAAATGCAGAAATGAGACTGGGAAAATGTGAATAGAATTATATTCATTTCCACGTGTGTCACTAAGCAGAGGGAACTGCAACTCCACTGAAAATATCTGGTTAGGCAGATTTTTCTTGTAAGGATGTTGAAACCATGTCATCTTGCATCAAAAACCACCACTTTAAGAAGCAATTTGTTAAGGAGACAACTACGTTGTGAACAATCATTTTTCCTTTCCAAGTCAAATTGCCACAAATATATAGATTTTATCACACAGTTTCTTTCCTTAAACCTTTGATCCTTCAAAACATAAACGTATTTTAATTCTACTGAGAGCAGAATAGGGCAGACCCAGGTGACTAATGTGTTGATCAATTGAAAGCTTGAACATCCCCCCCCCTCCACACCCCCCTTTACCCTGGGCATTTGATCATTTGAAGATTGGTTTGTTAAAATTCCGGTTCCCCGAGGCAAAAATTCGGTTCAAATGCCCCACCATTGATCACATTGATCAAGCTTTAAAGCCTAGACCTTGTGGCCCTTTTTCTTCTGAGCCATTTGCTCCCAAAAGTGAACTATTTACCTGAAACACCTTCATAATTAAAGATATAACACTTGTACTCCCCTGGAAAGACTTCACCTTTCCAGTTCAAATTCCCCACCCTCACCCCCCAGGCACAAATTACAATCAAATGCCCATGGGTTGCCTGGAGAAAGGAAAAGAAGGGGAGGGCAAGTAACTTCTTTCTACAATATCCATACATCATCTAGCAAACAGATTATGATAAATCCTTAAACCTATCAGGTGGCTGAATGCTACCTTGATTTTAAACCAAATTCTCATAACTAATTCAAGAGGAAATACAGAGCAACTAGAAGGGAGAATTGACAATCATGTATTAGAAATAAATTGGTTAATAGCTTGTCACTCAGACACAACCATTCATGTGTTATTATTTGGAATCCTTTTCCTTTTGTCAACTGATGTTTTGCTCACATAATTCCATTTGATACATGACAATTGTCTTGACTTTAGCATAGCACCTGGTTGGCAAAAGGATACTTCTCTTTGTCCTTTTCTTGTACATGATCCTGTATCCACATTCCCGACAACGAATAGGGTCCCTTGATTTGATCTCATTTTCTGTGTGACACTCTGAATGTAAGAACGAATAGATAATTGTAAAGAGTGAGTTACCTTAAAAAATGTTCTCTATTCTCTTTAACAACCACTTGCATGTACTGGATGAGTGTTAAACTTCAACATATAAACTACTGCAAATCCACTTACACAACAAACTCCATAACATGTTATAACATAGTGAACATAATGCTCATCATGATTGGTCATTTCAGTTTTCAAGTGGATGCTGTATCAGGTTTTATTAAAAACTGGATCATTGGATAATGCAATTCAAGACTTTTTATTGGCTTAGCCATTATGGTATATGAACCAATATACCATAATTTACAAATATGGTAAGCGTACGTGTCAGCTTAAAATCAAAAGGGAGCTAAAAAATCCGGTTTCTTCTTAGAAAATAATAATTTCTCAAGGGCGTTTTTAATAAAACAATTATTCCACTCCCGCTTGTTGGATATGAGTTGGCTATCTATCATCTCATATCCAACGTGTGTTTGTGGAATAATTGTTAAATAGAACCTGCATGTAACTAATAATATTTTAACTAGTTATGTCATCAAACAACATTCCTCAGTACAGCCCTTGTGCTCTGTTATTAGGAAGAAATACAGCACATTTTTCTAGGCTTTATAACATGATAAAGCTACTGTGGATGCTGGGAGAACACTCTGAGAACACTCAGAGAAAATGTGTTGTATTTATTAATTTAATAATAATAAATTCTTCCTAATAACAAAACACAAGGGCCATACTGAGGAATCTTAGCCTGAGGTACAAAATACATGATGATTTTCAAGAGTGTAACCATTGGATTAGCCTACGTGCAACCCCACTGATTCTTTGCTAAGTGGGTCTGCGTAATATCGAACAAAAGCATGTAGAAAGACCCCCCGCAACTAGTTTGAAAATATACAATCGTTGCCGATTGGCTACCTTATAAAACGGCCTCTCATTGGTTCATCCCAGTCTCTCTCTACGGGATCGATGTTTTGATTTCACACGCGAGTTTGAAAGGTCGAAAAAATTTAATATTTTTGCCCAGATATTTTGAGTTTTTATCGCTATATAAAGTACAGATGGAACTCAAACAGCATGCAATCTTTGTGTGAACTTGATCAAAAAGGACAGATGACCAACAGCTCACCGACAGTTCACCGACAGTCGGCTGACAGATATTTTGGGGAGCTGTTTTTCAATTTTACCATTTGGGTAAAATTGGATAAATCGATGAAAAATGGTAAACTGACAGACTACCAAGAGAAAACCATCAAGTGACCGAGAGTTTACCAACTGTCAGCAAACAGTCGGCCGACAGCTTTTCGTGTCGATTGGGAAAACTGACGGCCGACTGTTGGGCGACTGTCAGCCAACTGTCGGCCGAATGTCAGCCGTCTGTTGGTCATTCGTCAGCTGACTGTCGGCCAACTGTTGGTCGACTGTCAGCCAACAGTCAGCGGACGGATATTTTGGGGAGCTGTTCTTCAATTTTGCCTCGGATTCTGCACTCCGAGCGCGGAATTCGAAGGTCTGAGGTGCGACTCCTAACAGGGACTCAGAAGTTTTTCTTTGTCCCACACTCGTGACCAGACAAAAAGCATCTTTCTCTATTTCTTCACCGAGCCCAAAATTTACCATCTTTCTCCTTCGATTTAGTAAATAATTGTTGATCAGTGATCATTATTTCGTGTTGTGCTACTCATTAACCTGCCAAAAACCAAGAAGTTATTTTCATCAAGGTGATTCTCCTCTCTTGATTTCTTTCAAATTATTTCCTGTTTAAGAAAGATGGTTCTTCATTACACCCTCAAACTTAAGAGTCTGAACTACACGCTTAGGAAGGAAGACACCTCGTGCTGTACAATGTTCCATTAAGATAACCAACCTCCGCAGATATAAATCATGGCTTGTTTGGTGGCTCCTTGACTCTGTGTTTGTTGATTTGCTTCCATGTCAGTGAGCTTTCGATGTGGTCATCAAAACCGATAAACAGGATCAAAAATTAACTGTAAATTCAATCTTACAAGAAAGTCAAAACGGCTGTGGACGTCTTCGCAGCAATTTGCTACTTCATGTATGATAACATCTATGCCCTTTGGGGATAAAACTGCTGACCAAATGTATTGAGTTTCATTCCCAGTCCTTTCTCGTTGAAAAATTTAAGGCCTCTCCCAAAGGGCTAGTCTCCCTCGCAGCCGTTTTTTTGGGGTGTCACGCAACGCTCCCCTAAAATACATTGTTGTGTCTTGGATCTTAGTCAATGATCAGAGGCAGGGTTTCATAAATTCCAACAGTTCAAAAAGGTCCAACAAAGAGAGATGCACAGAAAGGTCAGACCTAAGAAGTATGTGAACTCACAAGAGGAGGCAACTGTAATCATTTTAATCTTTTCGCACCCAATATCTCATCACTAATTCTCTATTATGGTGGCTCTATACTGTCTGCCAGACAATTCTTATAACATTAGTTGAGAGAATTAAATAATGGATCAATTGATTACCCCCTAATTAATTAATTTTTTTTATCATGTCACTTGTCTGTTTGATGCAGAGAATTCTGTTTTGGTCACTAATGGGAGTTTGTACTTAGATGGATACTGCTAACAGTTCTTGCTGGAGAGGAAGGAAACGTGATTCTATGAAGAAAATACTAATATTTATTTACTGTTTACAATTATTAATAACATATAACAACTGCATTTGTAAGAAAAATATATTACACCACAATTAAGTTGCTCAAATGCATGATTTCCTGCTTTACACTTTAACATCAGCATGCATATTCTCCAAACTGTTCTCCAAAAATTCCCAAGGTACTGCCAAGGAGAATTTATGTAACAGCATCAAGAGCTTTCTTTAGTTAGGGATCATTTTCTTTTATTTTTGTAACCTTAAGTGTGATTCAGAGGTGAATACATGATTTGTAAGGAGAAATTAGATCCCTGTCACTGTCAAGAGTCAAGCCACTTAACTTAAATATGTATACTACAAGTAGTTAGTTTCAAGGACCATGTAAAAATTTTTCACATTTTTAACAAAAGAAAAAATAGAAATATTTGTACCACAGGTCAGTAAAAATGATTGCTGTTAAATAGTAAACTTTATATATAAAAAATAGGGAAAAAAATAAATATAGGGAAAAAAAAGCTGTACATTGGGGCTAGAAATGACCTTCAATCCCCAGTCAAAGAGCCAGTTCTGAGTCTTTAGTTTGCATACAGGAATGTGATATTGGTTTTCTGATATTTAATCAGTTAATCGATTAACTATGATTCAATGTACTGGTAAAGAAAGGGATACCATACCTAAAAATTACTTTACAGAAGGAACTGGTCAGCAAATTAATTAATATTCTAGTCAGGGCTCAACACGAGCTAACTAGCCCACAGAATAGTAGAAATTCAGTTTTGGCCAGTGGTTTTTTATTTCTACTAGCCAGTTTGGCTTAAGTAAACAAAGTGAAATTGTTGTAACATCGAAGTTGTCACTAGCAACTAGGCTAGTGAGTTGAAAAGTTAGTGTTGAGCCCTGCTCGTACCTAAATCATCTGACATATCAAACAGTGTACTTGAAACTCTTCCTAAACGAGGCCAAGTTCTCAGGAACCATACATAAAGACAAGAGAACGAGTCATCAGGAACCTCATCATGACTATCTCCATTGTTAGTGGAAAAAAGATTCAGCTGTTTGGGTACATTTACATTTTCAAACCCTCATCATGTCACAATGGTTTAATTCTCAAGTTGTAAATTCCACCTGTTCAGCATAAGCGTACAACCTGTTCTAAGCAAAAGTAGTCACAGCCTTCAGGGAATATCATTCTTTGATAACCCAGAAAAGACTGCTTCCTTTTTTCATTTGTTAGCCAGTATGGTAGCTATTTTCTTGGCTACAATGTAGTTATCACAGTGAATTTAGATCCATTTGTCTCAGCAGGAGTAGTGGTGGTTTCACCATGTGTAGTGTTGTTTTGTGATTCAGATGATCCTATGTGATCCATATCCAGAGTGAGTTGCACTGAGTTTGGTAGTGAAGTCAAAGACACTCCTGGTGATACCGCAACAGCACTTGAGGACCTTGCCATAACTTCTGAAGAATCTGCTACTGAAGATGTTCCAGGTAGCGATGAAAAAGTTGAATCTTCTACCTGCAGCGTAACAATTGGAGTGCATGATACTAGACTTGCTGATGGAGTCTCTGGAAATTGTGAGTGTTCTGAACCTCTTGATTGGGGTTCATTCCCAAGTTCTGTTAGAGTTCTAGCTGAAATACTTGTTGTTGACCCTTGCCCTGATACCCTTTCTTCAGTCGGCAATGCAGGGTGTGAATTTAAGGAGGCACTCCAAGAAGCACCAGGAAGCTGACAAAGTTCTGGGTTTTCTGCTGGTGTATATGCTGGAGGTGGTTCGTCTGGCACATTCTGTCGCCTTCTGTCTTCACTGGCAGATATGCTACCAGGGTTAACAATGCCCTCTGGGTAAAGTTCTGCATAATTCTTGACATTTGGAGGAAAAGAAAATATTAGTAATGATTTTTGATATATTAAAAAGAATTTAAAGACTGACATAAAATTAAGATACACTGGAGACTATGTTTCTTGTGGCTCACACTGCATCACAATTTGTTGTAGAAAAATCAGGTGACTACTAAGAATATTCCATTTTACCAATTATTTTTGTCTTACAATATATGACAAGTACTTTAAATTGCTAGTTAGTGAAAAAGTGGAAAATGAAATAACAAGACAATTTTCCTGAAATGTGCACTCAAGTTCATACAATAATTTTCATTGTGCATCCTGTGTAGAATTGGCATGTATAAAAAAAACATTACTACGACTGAGAGGTAAATCACCGTCATTACAAATGCACAACAACAAAACATTTAGACTACTCTCAACATCTTAAATCAGTTCTTCACACTGCCTGCCATACTTTTCTTACAGTTAAATCTCATAAAATTTGGAGTTAAATCAGACAACACCCTGTAATTGATATCTTTCATTTGACTTCTGATATTTCTCATTTCTGCTTGAAAAATTCCTGTTCAATCAATCCTGAGATAATGTTACAGGCAAGTCTACACGTGGAATTATATCTTCATTTGCTTGTCTGATATGAATAAACAATAAATTTCACCTTTATATGCAATAGGAAACTTACAATAGTTACTGAAGACCTTGTTGGTAAATGAAGGTTAACTCTAACTTAGATTATCTTACATGTATGTTAAATATTATTAATAGAGAAATATGGTTTTGATACCATAATTATTATACTTCAAGAAGAATTGAGAAATAACTCATCTACCTGATGGTCAAATCATACTTTTTACTCACCGGTAATTTGAACGGGGCAAAAAACTGAAGATCTGGATTTTGTAGGAAATGGCCCTGTATAGGCTGTAGAGATTGGGGTATGGTTCCTTGGAAGACAACCTCAGCCCAGTTGTGATGGCCATACCCTAACTCTGCTATGGGTAAAGTGGCAACATTTCTTTGGGAATACCGAGACAATGATGAATGACGGCTATTTGTTGCAAGTGTTACCTGCAACAAAGAGTAAAATTTTGGACCAATCAGATATTGCCTTTCTGTACTTCTTCATTAGTTCCCTTATTTGACAGAGTGCTACAACTCATTAGCAAGCTATTGAACTTCACATGCTAAAATTTCCAGCTCACTCAGACTTTTAAGTTAAGTTAATTGCTAAGTGATCATGTTACAGGAGCAATGAGAGCCTAAATATATGTTGTTCATTGATTAGCTGCCACTACTCCTTCTCACCCCTCCCCCCCCCCCCC